CTTGCCCTTATTTCCTGCTCTACCTGCTGCACAACATCCCTCTCATCCTGTAGCTCTTGCGCCCCTTGTTGACTAAGTGATCCTCCTTGCTGTAGTCGTGTTTTCCTAGCTCTCCGGCGCTTGCTCAGTACTTCATTTGCCTGTCGTAGGTTTTGGTTCTCTCCCTTTAGCAGTGCTAATTGATGCATTATTTGCGATGCACCCTTTGTAAACTGGTCAACAGCTGCATAGATTGAGGTTGGAGAGCTATTTTGATGGCGTGAAATCCGAGTTTTAATAAATGTAGACTGTGACATAGCTTCAATTGGGTTGTTTGGTGTCTGAGAAACCCAAGGTTGAGCAGTACCTGGGCGGGAGCTTGGAGGCGTTGGTGTCCTTAACTTAAGATCAAGTGTAGATATCACTCTCTCAGGGTCAAATGGAAGAAGCCCTGCCCCTCGGAACCCGCCTCGAATGTTACTTTCCGTCATTGTAGTGTTAAATGCAGCGTGGAAGGCAGGAAAGAAGTCATCCTTTGTAATATGAGAAATATGAGCCTGCATCATATCTTCAATTTGCCGACCATAGGCCTGCTTTAACGGGCCGAAACAGCCAACATCAAGTGGCTGGAGTAGATGAGAAGAGTGAGCAGGCATACAAAGCGTAATAATGTTGTGTTCCTTGCAGTACTCCTCAAACTCATCTGAGTGGTGGCTCTCATGACCATCAAGGACTAACAAGCGATAACCACCAACACTCCGGGCCTTTGTATGCTTCTCAAAGTGCTGAATCCAATCCATGCCTCTCTCGTTTGTAGTCCAGCCATTTTCAGTAACAGAAATCACCCAATCGCTTGAAAATCCACTATTCTCATACCAAGATGTAAGGTGGTTTTTGCCTGCAACAATGATAAATGGTGGTACTGCCCAACCTTGAGAACTAACGCCTTGGATTACTGTAACCCATTCCCGATTACCAGGCTGTACCTTCTTTGCTTTTGCCCGCCCGTCTGAGCTTGTTACAACCATACCAGTTGAGATAACGCCCATCATAAACCCAGTCTCATCAAAGTTGTAGATATCTGCTTCATCGATACCATATTTCGCAATTGTGTTACGCACAAGCTCAAACCAGCCATTAATAACTTCTGGATCTTCGCACTTAGCCCTCTGGTAGTCGTATTTGCGCTGAAAGCGTGTCTGGAGCTCTACACGCCGCTTAACAAAGTTTGAAGCCCAACGCGACCCAACGCGTGACGCGTCGCGTGTTGCAAGTAGTCGACTTGCCATATCTTCAACAACAGACAGCCGAGGAGGAAACCCTTTGGCAGCTAGGTCGAGTATATACTGAACAAGGACGGACTCCTCTAGGTTAGTTAATTTCTGTGAGTTGGCTTGGATATCGCGTCGTGAAGGTACACCTTCTAGACGACGACCTAGCTTGCGGTGGTCCACAGAATAGATCCTAGCAGCAACTCGAAGGCGTAACTTTGGGTCGCTTTGCATAGCCTGGATAGCTAGCACTAATTGGCTTTCATCGTTTTTATGGGGCATGTTTTGTTGTTGAGGAATTTAACATTTAGTTGGGGGGTTTGGTCACCGCATCATTTTGGCGCTTTCGCTTGTTTGGCGCTTTCGCTATACATGTACGTTATAGCTTTTTATAATATATAAGAAGTTTAGCAGTGCTAGTTCCATGGTTATTATTCTATTAATATAATAAAATATCCTGTATAAATATTTGTATAACGTAACTCGTGGCGTAACGGGACGGATGGCGTAACGGGACGCTTTGCCAGAGCCACCCGCACCCCACCAAAATCAAGGTCACATGACCAAAATTAAAATGTTAATAACTTTTGTAATAATGCTTATAACGCTTAATCCTCTTAGACTATTACTCTTTATATCATACTCTAACATGTGTAAAAATGCTAGTAGTACTACTTTTGTTTTACAAAAGATAATAAGGCTTATATTTTACTATATAAAATATAAATAACTACTTAATAAGAAGAGCTTAACGTAGGTCGTGGCCATACCGGGGCCATGGCCATACCGGGATGGTGAGGTAAGCGAGCACTTAACTAACCCATCAAACCCATCAACCAACACACCAAACCTATCAATTACCCCATTATTATGGTACGCAAACGGAGTTTAAAAGCTCAAGAACGCGATATTCTAATACTTGAAGCAGTAGCTGGAGTAAAATCTGGTTTATATAAAACTGCAAATGCTGCTGCAAAGGCCTTACATCTAAGGCCTGATACAGTTGTTAGCCGCATTAAAGGGCGACATACCTCACATAAAGAAGCACATTTAAAACATCAATTACTCTCCCAAACCCAAGAAAAGACCCTTTTAAAATGGATCAAAAATCTTACTGCAAGTGGTTACGCTCCTAGCCATCGCATATTACGTGAGGTTGCAGAGGAAGTGCGGTCAAACAAGTGTCGGGTCTTCCAAACCCAGGTGAGCCAACCTACAGAGTTAGTTGACCAGCTCAGTCAGGTCAACTACCAACCCATCAAACCTGCCATAGACTGGCAGACTCGGCTATTTCTAACTAGTGGCTTGGCAGACCCCATCAAACCAACCGGCTCAGCAGCAGTCCCGACCAACTCAGCAGTCCCGACCGACTCAGCAGTCCCGATCAACTCAGCAGACCCGACCAACTCAGCAGACCCGACCAACTCAACAGACACAAACTCAACAACCACAACTCCAACTACCTAACTTACCTCTTGGGCAAGAGTGGGTGCCACGGTTCATTCAAAGGCATCCTAACTTACGTGTTAAGTTAGGAAGGAGGGTTGAGGCACAAAGGATGAATGGGGTCACAAAGCAGGTGTTGAAGGCGTGGTTTGACGCATACAAGAGCCCCACAACAGAGCAAAAAATCGAAAACTACAACACCTACAATATGGATGAGACTGGGTTTTCAATTGGAACAATGCAATCTACACGAATTATAGTCGATTCTACACTTAGGACACATTTTCAGGCACATCCAGGAAGGCAGGAATGGGTCTCTGCTGTTGAGTGCATCTGGAACAACCACCGACCCCCTCATTATCTTCAAGGGACAGAATGTACTACAGAGCTGGATTCCAAAGGATGTTATAAGCAAATGGCACTTCTCTGCAAATACAAAAGGATGGACAAGCAATCTTCATGGATATGAGTGGCTAAAACGCGTTTTTGAGCCTTCTACAAGAGCAAAAGCAACACTTCCAAATGGACAACTACAACAAAGGCTCCTTATTTGTGATGGCCATGACAGCAATATAAGTGGGAGCCTCATATCACACTGCATACAGAATCGCATATCGCTCCTTATACTACCTCCACATACCTCACATATACTCCAACCACTTGATGTTGCAATTTTTGGACCTTTGAAAAGACACCTCACAACAGCCCTCTCACACCTTAATGAGGCGCAGCTCCTACGCATACAGAAAGCAGAATGGATGGATGCATACATACAAGCAAGAGCAGCTGCATTTTCAAATTCAAATATAACTTCTGCTTGGAGAGGGAGTGGGCTACAGCCGTTCCAGCCATAGACAGTCATACGCGCAGCTACACTTCCTACAACAGATGCACCCTTAGAACGGCCAAGGACTCCAACAGAGCATGATATTAGAAAGTATTTTTGAATAGCAGTCCTCCTCATTTTCAGACACTTCACAAAGCAAATACAGTTCTCTCTTCTACAATAAGTCGTGGTGGTGTTTTGAACACTCCTACAAAGCGATATATTCATAAGTTAGCAGACGAGACAGAGCGGCTCAATACATGCCACATACTACAACAAAGGGAGACAGATAACTTGCGCTCAATTATTCAGAAGCGCAGAGTACAAAATAAGGGCAAGAGAGCAGTTTTGAAGGGTCAATTCCACATCACAACTGAGGAGTTGCAGTCGCAAGTAGCAGAAGCAGAAGCAGCAACAGCAACAGCTTCACAGAGGCCTAGAACAACACCACGACTTATAGAGGAAGCTACAATTGAGGAAATAGACAGAGAGGGTGAAGAAGAGATATATGACAGCGATTTAGATGAATTAGCCTAGTAGTAATTGAACAATTTCAATTTTTTAAAGGTGGTAGTGGTTTGATGGGGTGGTTACGACCCCACTAAGTTACCCCCGTTACGCCATTACCCCCGTTACGCCATGACCTACGTTACATATATAAAACCTAAACATTGAATAGTCAAGCCCTATAATTTTTATTAATGGAGATATGTAGGTTTTTAGTTTTGGAAGTGTGAAGTACCTTTGCATATGAATTTGTATGTAAAGGTACATTACTGCATCTACGCCATTGCTGCATCTACGCCACGACCTACGTTACATTAATTTCATAATTGGAAATTTTGATATCGTGCAGCTGATAATTGCCGATTTTAGGCCAAACAATAACTTAATGATTGAACTAACGTAAGTCGTGGCGTAACGGGACGGATGGCGTAACGGGACGCTTTGCCAGAGCCACCCGCACCCCACCAAATTCACACACCTATCCACCAATTATGGTACGCAAAAAAAGTCGAAAATCAGAGGATTTAGAAGTTCTATTAGCTCAAGCTATCTTAGGCATCCAAAATAAGGAGTATAAGTCATCATATGAGGCTGCTAAGGCCTTGGGGCTGAGCTGCAATACTGTTCAAAAACAGCAATTATTATCAAAAAATCAAGAAACCACTCTCTTAAAGTGGATTAAGGACCTTACTACAAGTGGCTATGCTCCAAGCCATCGCATATTACGTGAGGTTGCAGAGGAAGTGCGGTCAAATAAGTGTCGGGTCTTCCAAACCCAGGTGAGCTAACCCGTGGAGTGGACCACCTCAGTCAAGTCAACCACCAACCCATCAAACCTGCCATAGACTGGCAGACTCGGCTATTTCTAACTAGTGGCTTGGCAGACCCCATCAAACCAACCGGCCCAGCAGCAGACCCGACCGACCCAGCAGACCCGACCGACTCAGCAGTCCCGATCAACTCAGCAGACCCGACCAACTCAGCAGACCCGACCAACTCAACAGACACAAACTCAACAACCACAACTCCAACTACCTAAGTTACCACTTGGGCAAGATTGGGTGCCACGGTTCATTCAGAGGCATCCTAACTTACGTGTTAAGCTAGGAAGAAGGGTTGAGGCACAAAGGATGAATGGGGTCACAAAGCAGGTGTTGAAGGGGTGGTTTGACGCGTACAAGAGCCTCACAACAGAGCTAAAAATCGAAAACTACAACACCTACAACATGGATGAGACTGGATTTTCAATTGGAACAATGCAATCTACACGAATTATAGTCGATTCTACACTTAGGACACGTTTTCAGGCACATCCAGGAAGGCAGGAATGGGTCTCTGCTGTTGAGTGCATCTGCATGGATGGAACAACCACCGACCCCCTCATTATCTTCAAGGGACAGAATATACTACAGAGCTGGATTCCAAAGGAGGTTATAAGCAAATGGCACTTCTCTGCAAATACAAAGGGATGGACAAGCAATCTTCATGGATTAGAGTGGCTAAAACGTGTTTTTGAGCCCTCTACAAGAGCAAAAGCAACACTTCCAAATGGACAACTACAACAAAGGCTCCTTATTTGTGATGGCCATGACAGCCATATAAGTGGGAGCTTCATATCACACTGCATACAGAATCGCATATCGCTACTTATACTACCTCCACATACCTCTCATGTGTTACAGCCACTTGATGTTGCAATTTTTGGACCTTTGAAAAAACACCTCACAACAGCCCTCTCACACATTAATGAGGCGCAACTCCTACGCATACAGAAGTCGGAATGGATGGATGCATACATACAAGCAAGAGCAGCTGCATTTTCAAATTCAAATATAACTTCTGCTTGGAGAGGGAGTGGGCTACAGCCATTCCAGCCACAAACAGTCATTCGAGCAGCTACACTTCCTACAATAGATGCAGTAATAGTGCGGCCAAAGACTCCAACAGAGCATGACATTTTTGAGAAAGTATTTCTCAATAGTAGTCCACCTGATTTTAATACCCTTCAAAAAGCAAATTCTGTGCTCCCTACAGCTCTAAATCAAGGTGTTTTGAACACTCCTACAAAGCGATATATTCAAAAAGTTAGCAGATGAGACAGAGAAGCTTAATACACGCCACATACTGCAACAAAGAGAGACGGATAACTTGCGCAGTATAATCCAGAAGCGCAGAGAACAGAACAAGGGCAAAAGAGCAGTTTTGAAGGGTCAATTCCATATCTCTACAAAGGAGTTGCAGTCGCAAGTAGCAGATGCAGAAGCAGCAACAACAGCAACACAAAAGTCGAAAACATCAACAACACCACATGCTACAGCATCTCTAATTGATTTAATTGATGATAGCAGTGAAGAGGAGATGTATGATAGTGATTTAGATGAATTAGCATAGTAATGGTAGAATTATTTGCAATTTTTGGTGGTAGTGGTAGTCTGGTAGTTTGGTGGGGTGCGGGTGGCTCTGGCAAAGCGTCCCGTTACGCCATCCGTCCCGTTAGTTACGCCACGACTTACGTTAATTGTTCGCTTCATTTTATATATGCTAAGTTAACCAAGTGAAGTTGATATAAAGATAGATTTAGCCAAAAGGCAACTTAAAAAATATATGCCTATCCTGCTTGCGCCAAACTCCCGTAAACTTACGTCATGATTTTGGTTTAAGTTCAGTTAGTAATTAACTGATTGATTGAAACTTCGAGACCAAAGAAACCTGTTTCTCTTCCCAGGATCGGTACCTGTGGTGGCAGCCTCTAATGATACGCTTCGGTTGTGTATCTCCTAATTTGTTGTTAGCAGGCTGTGCTGGTTGATTCATGGAGGCTACTTACATCCTCATCCGCAGAAATGAAGCAGTCTAATATGATTTCCCTTGCATTGTCGTGCTTCTCCAGAATCACAGGTGTACTGTGACTCTTCATAATAGGCAGTATGACCCCTCCAAATACCTCAAACTTTGACCAATTGATACGGTCTCCCTTCGGCCCGACAAAGGTCTTGCCTCCTTCGTCCGCCGAGGCCAAGTCACGTCGGGACAGAGGCACGTATGGTATCCGTGGCAGCGTTGAATTTTGCCAGGCCAGTCGATACGCAAAATGGCTCCTTCGGACCCCCATCAATATCTCGAGTCCCATAAACTGTTTCCGGCATTCATCACTGATCAAGGCTTGCGTCTGTGCGAGTCGTCCAACCGCTGTGTTCTGAATCCCCGCCATAACGGCGGCCAGGCCATTATAGTTGTTCATTTGCCTTAATTTCCATGCGATACGCATAAATTTCTCCAGTATCTGCGCCCGGTGCTTTGCCTTGTCTCTTAAGAGAATCAAGTTGGTCACCCACCATGCCACATGATTAAAGTGGTTGATGGCGCGGGTGACATTGACGAGGCTTTTGCATTTGGCCTTTTGTTTTGCTGAAAGGCTCACATCACGAACCAGATCTCGTACGCGGACTGACGAAAACATGATCCAATCCATTCTAGTGATTTCGTCTGCGAAATCATCATCCGAAATCTCCATGCAGTTGTGATACAGGAGCTTCGTCAGTAGGTGCTTTCTTGACGGTACGAAAGTCGCAGCTTCAATTTCATAATCTCTCACTGTATGAAAGGCTGAAGGTTGACCACCAGTCGCCGGGGCAGCGTCACTCGATGATACTGACACAGTCTCGGAATGTCGACGATCTCGTTTGGCGTTCTTCTCACCAGCTAGAGACACATTGCTGGTGTTCTTGCTTGGAACAGTACTCCGTGAGCTGCGTGTCGAAGATGTGACTGGAACGAGTTCGTTCGTTTCCTCCACGTCAGAGTTTACCTCTAGATCACTCTTCTCCCACCGAGTATCGTCATCTTCCACGACGTGAAAGCGAAGCATAGTCCTCATCTCTTGAACGGCGTAATTGAAAGCTGGTTCAGTGGAAATCTGCTCGACAAAAGCGCTGAATTTCTGATTCGTCTGTGGAGCGGCGAAATCGCCTGGATACTGCGAAATCCATTTGGTAAGGACAGCGATAATCCGAAGCTGCACGGTAGTTCGGGTCAGGAAATGTTGACCTTTCTCAGTCGTAGATTTTTCCAACCGGGATAAAGTGGCAGACAGTAACATCCCGGGAGACGCAAACTTTCTATACATGCACAGGAATATGTCCGTAAAATTCGCATCTGCCTTCGACATAGGCTGGCTTAACAGGCGATCGACAAGCTCGTCAAATGTGAACCCAGACACCTTGGCATGTCTGTCTGGAGTAACCTCATCACTTCGCTGGAGTATGGGAATATCGTCCGAGTAGCGGGGAGTGTCAATTTCAGAGTCTTCTAGATCGACACTCGAAAGAACGCCTCCAGAACGCTTCTTCTCTGGCGTATCATCTTCGTCATCGGTTTCTGGGGTAGCTATCGTAGTGGTGTTGCTCTCCAATTGGCCTTGCGACAACCGTGTTTGGCCGGTCGTTGGGACATCTGCCTTCTCCTGGAAGACCTGAACTGTGTCCGTGTCAACCTTTTGGCGCGTCGGTATAGTACGACTAGACATTTGAGGTGGTGGAATCGCCTTTGGCATCGCCTTTGGCATCGAGAACTCGGAGCGAACACTGTTTGTGACAGCTTAGACCTAGGCCTTGGCATGCATCACTGCCTGCCCCGGCTTCAGTTGATGAGCCTGCTCAAGGTTTAACTGCGACCGAAATAACGAGGTGAGAATCGAGGATTCGTGGGCATGGGCCTGCGGTGGACGAACTCAGAACTGGTATCCACGTTATGGCTTCAGTTGAGGTTGACGTTAATCGGCGGCTACTTCGGGATAGACGCTCAGGCCCGTCTATGTGGGGTAAGCAAGGGTGAAGGGTGACGGGTGCTCTGACGGGCTCGGCTAGATTTCTTTCCGTTAGGAAAGTGAGGAGCAGACACCATGATTGTCTCAGAAATGGACAATTATTTTTTGAGTTTTAATTCTTGTACAGAAGTTAATGCGTGGTGTTTCTAGATAATGCCATCAACGTCGAAGCTACTTCACAAGCTCACATAACATACGATACTTCAGTAGTCGTGGAATAATTGCTACTAATCGCTAACCATATACGCCATGTAGTGGAATACTGGCAAAATTAGGAGGACCGGAGGGCATAGAAATTTGATTTCTAATATGCATCTCCGTTGAGGAGCTGCGCGATGATCGTTGCGTTTTCCTCAGCAACCTCGTCCTGGACCAGTCGAGCAACATCAACGCCGTCTGCCGCGACAAGCTTCAAAACGAGGTTAGCATACTCTCTTACACCCTCACCGGGCTTTCCAAACTCCAGCTTAGCCTTGCCCAACGCATCTATCCCATCCTGTGTCCCTCGATCGCTGTTCCATGGTCCTGGCCTTGAATTGCCTCTGCCCATTCCCCCCCTTCCACCTCCCCTACCTCTCTGGAACTGAGGAAACGAATGATCGTTGTTCGACTCAAGCGTATTTGGATCATCCGTCGGCGGAAGAGTAGCACTGTATATCTCTCGTAGTTGGGAGCGTAGACGAGGGTACATGGTAAAGAGTGACTGTAACTTTTGAGAACTCTCCAACACTGAAAATATGTTGCCCTGGGTGGAACCTGCAACGGTTCCTGGCAATGGTCTTATTGATCCATTCTGCGTTGCAGGTTCAGCAGCAAGAGGAGTCAGATTTCTGGTCACTGGTGTCTCACAAGGGACGGCTCTGTGTAGAGTTGCACAGGCCACAGAACAACTACCAACTGTTAGATTTATCGTAGGTAACTGGTAATCGAAGCCCTCACTATGGAATTTCACATCGAGAACATTTATACTTGGCCTGCTGGTCGTTGCACACCCCACACACCTTGCTGCTCAAGCTTGCTTTTGGGGGACTCTGGTCTTTAGTGATGGTGGCTTCTGAAACTTCACCGACTTCTTCAAGATTGCCATGGTCTACCTCGGTTTGTGGTATATCCAGATTTTGGGGAGACTGCGATTTGGCCGACCTATCCAAAACCTCGCCATCGCCGCCAAGGTCAGCAGTGGTGGGCTCCATGGCTAGTATTCAGAGCAGACGGTGGTCTGGATCCGTGATGGCGGTGGAAAGTTGAAGGGTCGGGTCACGTGCACGAAGTATAAATAGTGCTGAGTCATATGCCGTCATTCCAGAAATCTGCCAGAGATCGACCGGACATTAAATTGTCTGGGCTGTGGTAAATATTATAGAACTCCTACTGCTTACGAAGAGTGTTTTTTGTGAAAGAAATATCCACAAACAGCACAATGGCATCATGTCGAGCGCTCAGCACAGTGGCATCGTCCACAAGGATGCTGAGGCCAACCATAATAACCCCAAGGGTTCCAATCACATCCGCATACAGATGTCTTCACCAAACCGGAAGACTACCGTCGATGGGGGCGACAAATTCATCGAGGAGACCAACCCTACAGCCATTGCACCAGCCATCAACTATACTCCGCCCAGCGGCTGCGGCTGGAGGTAGCCGTACTATATTTATTCAGACGGAGAATACACCCAACCCGGATGCTCTCAAGTTTCTCCCCAACCAGCGGGTTCTACCCGAGGGCCTCTCGACGCCTTTCATTGAATATATGTCGCCGCGCTCAACTCTGGCGCCTCCACATCCCTCTCCGTTGGCAGCAAACTTGATGAACATCGACGGGATCACATCTGTGTTCTATGGAGTAGATTTCATAACCGTCACGAAGGCCGCCGATGCCAACTGGGCGCATATCAAACCCGAAGTTTTCAGCCTCATCACTGAAGCCGTTACTTCCGGACAGCATATGGTGAACATTACAGAGAATAAACCAGGAGAGCAACAACATGAGGGTGCGGAGGAGGACAGTCTTGCATATAACGAAAATGATAGTGAGGTTGTTGGAATGATCAAGGAACTCCTGGAAACACGGATAAGACCTGCGATTCAAGAAGACGGTGGAGATATCGACTTCAAGGGGTTTGAAGGGGGGAATGTATTGCTCAAGCTCAGAGGTGCCTGCCGTACATGCGATTCGAGCACGGTCACATTGAAGAATGGTATTGAGGGAATGCTGATGCACTATGTGAGTGAACCCCCCCCCTTTTTGACAAGAATCACTTTCCAACATCAAGCACAGATTGAAGAGGTAAAGGGCGTTGTTCAGGTTGTAGACCAGGAAGAGGAAGTGGCTCTAGCCGAGTTTGCAAAGTTTGAGGAGAAACTGAAACAGCAAAAGGGAAGTGTGCCAGCATCAACAGAAGGCAAGGACAGCCTAGACAGTGTGCCGGGTTGAAGCATCACGTACACTGTAGACTGTATAGTATGGCGAGGATTGGATGTATACCAGAACAAAATCACAGGGATGGGACATGCGTGTATATACCCAAATGAAGCATTGTGCAGACATAATTGGCCAGGGTGCCACTTCCCGGCTTTCTCGGTGTGCAGGGCCCATCTCGACCGAAGCCGAAGCCGAAGCCGAAGCCTTCTTGTAAGGTGGTGCTGAATTGACGTAGTGGTGGGAAGAGTAGAAACACGGCCTGGAAAAGTAATGCTGTGGAAGGATAGGTTATATCAAAGAGTCACGAGGGGTGGGTTAAACAGTGGTAGTAAGTTTTGTGTTACCGTGAATCCAACGCCAACCGCCGTCAACCAGTCAACATCAGCCAGTGCTACCAGAGACTTGGGCTTTGTCGAGCTCTTTCTCGTGGTTCCCACCCCACCACACTTTGTTCGAAATATGAACGGAAATAGCTAGGTGCAGTAGAGAAGATGGATGGCATTGACGACAGATGGGACTGTGATGTAATATATAGAGATCGATAATGGACTTTGGCGGCTCAGTACCCGTTGTATTGTGAAGTTTTGGAGAGATGATTGCTAGGGGACCAAGCAGTGCAGAAACGACAGGTAGAGAAGGGCAGAACTGCGTGGAGGGGAAAGAGGGGTGGATTGATTAATCATGGGGCACATGGGAGATGGGTGGAGAAGGGAGATGGGTGGAGGAGGGAGATGGATGGGGATGGATAGAGAAGTAGAGAGAGTACACAACATGAGGGTACAGCACGAATATATACCAACAGACAGCAAGACTAAAAGCTGTTCTTGCAATTGTCGATTCGATGGTGAGGGTTGTCGAGTAGCAGTCAAGGTACGGATACTGTGCTGTAGTGTGCTGTAATGGAGCAAGTACCATCTCTAGAGATGTACATACTCGAGCAAACGGAGTACTCTCTGTGACTGTTGACTGTTGACTGTTGACTCTCGACTGTTGACTCTCGACTCTCGACTCTCGACTCTGCTCCCCCGCAGTTTACCAAGACACACGCTAACGGTTAGTGCCATCAGTGTTACCCCCGTTCGAGTCTAGTGCTACGGTAGCCCCTCTATCTCCGCAATATCACCAAAGTATACAGTACGAGCAGAGGCAAACGGGAAGAGAAGAGTAAAACGATCAGCGTACTTTACTATAATACCCCATAAATACTGTCGCCACCCAAACATCAAGGCAGTCAGTGTTTTAGAGGCTCATACCTACGAGAACAGAACCATTCAAAGTAGCATAGATCACTCTAGAGTTGTACTTCTACGGGTACCCAGACAGCCACACCCTCCATATGTACCCAGTACTTGCCTCACCTACTGACCTACTGTAACTCACCTACTGACCTAACTCACCTAACTCACCTAACTCACCTAACTCACCTAACTCACCTAACTCTACGGAGTAACTCACCTAACTCACCTAACTCTACGGAGTAACTCACCTAACTCACCTAACTCACCTAACTCACCTAACTCACCTAACTCACCTAACTCACCTAACTCACCTAACTCTAACTCACCCAACTCACCTAACCCCTACACCCCCGATTAGGCCCAGGCGACAGAACAGTCGACCCACCATTCCAAAGTGGAGAAAGTCTTCTACATTACCTCCCCTTCATCTTTCCACCTCCCCCAAACCCCACACCTATCGTCCATCATTTGCACACTTTCATACTTACTCTTACTTTACATACTACATACACACACATACATACCGTTGCCTGCGCCATCTTCTCTCCTCGACATTCAATCCGTCTGTCTAAATTCTCTTACCTATCTCGCTCTCCGCCTACTGTCTCATCGATCGCCACCCGCCGCCGTTACAAAGCTTAGGCTCCATCCCCCACAAAGCTCTCGCGTGTCGCCTTTCAAAAGCTCATTGCCACAAACAATCGATCCGCCACAACATATCCTGTGTCGCGTTGACCTTGCAATACCCTGAGAGAGTCTGATCTGACAATTTCGACCCCATACCTCACATACGCCGACTGCCATTATTGCGACGGGATATAACTCCCTAGGCTAGGCTGTCGCGTCCCCTCTCTCCAGACGACAATGGGCAATGAATAGTTGAGGCGAATTCAGCCTTCTTTATCCTCTCAGGGGGCCCGAACATTTCATTCGGGTTATTAGAATAGGAGAATCTAGACTTTGAAAGGATCGCGATCTGCATTGGCGGAGGAATATATCACTCCTCGGCCGTACAACATATTAATACGACATGAACTCTGGAGCGAAAACCCGGCCGGCGGGCAAATTCAACCAGTCATCCTACCCCACCACAATGTCAGCAAGCAACCCCTCCATTTTGCTCGACAAAGTCAACGGGAGACGATCCACTCCTGACTCTGAGGCTCTGGCAAGCTCTGACGATGAGGGTGACACCCAGCAGCGGCAGGAGAATACCATACCGACAGCAGCGCCTCATAAGCCTGTTCGTCGCGCCTCCTGGCTGAATGATACCACCCAGCCTTTGAGCCAGCCTCGTAAGGGCTCTTTCGCAAGCAGCACAATTTCACCAACAACCTCACATCCCACTACCCCATCTACCGAGACAGGCGCATGGGGTGCGCATACGTCCACATCATCTGCTACAGCTACTGGCCGCGTCCCTCCTGGATCCACATCATTTCCCTGGGGATCTGGGATCTGGAATACTGAAGCCAGAAAAGACGCACCCCATAGGTTGTCAGAGGTCCTTCCGTCACCAACCAGTCTGACAGGCGGATTCGCCAATAATGGCCTCTTCAACACAGACAACAGTAATTCTCAGGGCCTCGCTACCTCTCGCGATGCACCTGCAGAGACAACAATACCTTTCGCAATTCCTCTTCATCCAACCCCGAAGACATATCGCTCCCAGTCCTACTCTGTCGGGCAACTCGACTCCGAGAGCAATGTTCCTGGTGCGGGCATTCTGCCAGGCCCTGGCTTCAACGCCCGCGTACGCGGAATGCACCATTCAGGGTTACAGCACCGACCATCAAGGCCCAGCATGCTAAGTGAGGTATCAGGTGACGGAACTGGGCTGGGAAAGCTTAAGGAAGTTGACGACGACGACCTGGAAGAGTTTGACAACATGGCCCACGGCTCGCAGCTGCAGGACCAGGCCAAGGTGCTGGAGGCACTGGCGCGAGAGAATGCAATGCTCCGTAAGCAGAACTATCACAACTCAAGGCTTAGGCCGAGAGCTGCTACCAGCACATCCCTTGCTTCCTTCCAGCCCGGCTATACATACGGGTTGCAAGATATGTTGCCAGAAGAATCCGACTATGCCATCGATGAGATGGATGAGATGGGCGAGCTTCAAGACATCGGAAATAAATCGATGCTTGCACGCCGACTGAGCGAATATGGTGAGGGCCAACTAGGAAGAGGAGGATATGGCGCAGCCGAGAACCAGAAACTTGAGAATGTGAAAAAGGCGATTTGGCAGAGCTCATTGGGGTTTGGTGGATTATCAGACATCTCTCAAAGTCGCAGACACTCGTTTGCTGACGTCCCGACCCGCCATGCTTCTGTAGGCTCTGTGGGAGAACAGATGCCAGGCCGTGAAAATGGCCATCAAGAGCAAATATTGCCTCAAGATGTGCAGTCACGCTATGCTGACTCCACTGATTATACGATTAATGATCATGGTAAGCTTGCACCTTCTACAACCGCTCACCATTTCCTTTCGCCTGGGGCCAATTATTCACGCGGGGGAAATACAGCAGTATCATATTTCGGCGGCGCACCCGTCCAAGCAAGAAATACCGAGGCATATGGATTACCGCCCTATCAACAAGCCTCTGCCTATCAACCTTACCCTGTGGCCCCAGCCTATGGCAGCGCGCAGCCAACCTCTCCTCATCGCAACATCTACAGTGTACCTCAGCCACGGCAGAATCAACTTCTCTATATCGTGCTCTTCAAGTGCTCAAGAGCCGACGTTTTCTACGTCCAAGAAGGAACTGGGCTCTCTGTCAAACCCGGTGACCTTGTGATTGTAGAGGCGGATCGTGGAACTGATCTAGGCACGGTATCCCAAGACAATGTTGACTGGGCCACAGCGAAAGAATTGAAAGAGCATTACGCTGAAGAACACTACAAGTGGCTTATGATGTACTCGCAAGGTGCAGTTGGCACTGCCGATGGAACAGGCGCGGGTTTGATGGCCGCCTCAAATGGACTTCAGGGAAGTGCCGTTGGTGGGATGGGTCCTCCCACTCAACATGGAATGCAAGAGCCAAATCCTGGAGAACTAAAGCCAAAAATCATCAAGCGTTTGGCGCAGAACCATGAGATACAGGCTCTCCGGGACAAGGAAGGGAATGAAGCCAAGGCAAAGAGAGTTTGCATGCAGAAAGTAAAAGAGCACGGTCTCCACATGGAAATCCTTGATGCTGAATTTCAAATGTAAGTCTCATGCTATTTCTTACTTCGTTCTTAACTAACAATACATTAGGGATTGGAAAAAGCTCACTTTCTATTACTTTGCGGATGCTTATATCAACTTCAACTCCCTGGTTACGGATTTGTTCAAGGTCTATAAGACCAGAATCTGGATGTCTGCCATAAATCCGGCGTCATTTGCTACCCCAAGCCTGGGACTTCAAGCCCCTAGCGGAGTCGGCCCAGGTGCAGTTGGTGCGAATAGACACACCCAGGTCGAGAGAAGACCACAGCAGCCACCCCAGCAAGAGCAGCCCAACTTCAATACCTTGAACCAAGGTGGTCGAGGATACAAGCCCGGGGCTGCTAATGCTTTTCAGCCCACACTTGATAAGCCCAGCGTGTCCCAAACTTCGTTTCAGCAGCCGTTCACTTACGGCCATTCGGCATTCACCCCAGCCCCACGTAACGCTCCAGGCAATTATGGCCCGAATATGATGCAGCAGATGGAGTCGTTTTCTCAATTGCCAACTGCAGCAGATTATCACGGAGTGCCTGATCGCTTCCTACCATCCCATACAACTGGTAATGGCCAAGATCCTGGCGATTTTAGCCGACCAGGGGGTGACAACGAGGGCTGGATGAATTCTTTTCAACGACTGTCGCTCAACAGCCGTTGATTGACCAGTTTTATTCGCCGTTAGTTTGATATACATTTCCTACTGGCCTCCCCGTCGGAGGCCATCTGCGATTCTTTGCTTTAATACGATACACCACCATAAGGCCGTAACCCTGACGGTGAGGATTTCGGGTACTTCATTGGTCGCTCATTTTTAAGCACCTTCTTTACCGGTATACCACACACAGAAATGGGAAGGGCCAATTAACGACTGATGAAGGGAGATCGCTAGGGAGGTAGTTATAGATAGATTTGCAATTGGGGGCGTCGTCGTTTTTTCACCGTAAACAGAGTTGGGTATACAGAGGCTTTCGTGCTGGGCTCAAAAGGGGTATCTGCATGGTGTTTCAATTGTCTGCCTTTTTGATAAATTTGGGCAATTTGATGGCGGGATTTGCGTTTAGTGGGTTGACTAGTTACACAACTATGATATGAATGGATATTCTAGACTGCTACTCTATTTTTCTATCGTGAGAAAGACGGATCACGTGCTCGGTGCATCCAAAAAGACGGTGTCGAAACACTTTGCTGCCCAATTGCTTGTAGTTTCTTGGGGCAATTGATATTGGATGTGTATTCACGAGTGCCAATGCAGAAGCAAACATGTATGTCACCCAGAAGTCACAAGTTAAATCATAAATCGTGATATATAGTTCACACAATCAATATAAATTGATGAGGCCTTTTAGTATTGTGGTAGGCACCCTACACGACTGCTAAGATGCAATATAAACTACACGCAGAGCTAACCATCGCGCAAAACATCCTCGAAATCTCCTTCCTAATGACTCCCAGACTATCTGTAGCGCTGGAGGTTGAGGGTGTTGTGGCGCTTCCAGGTCTTGCGGCGACCGGCGGTGGTGTGGTTGAAGCCGTGACCCTTTCCGAGACCACGGGACTTCTTGCCGGTGGCGGTGAGGCCACGCGACTCGCGGTGCTTGTGGACGGGGGCGACGATCCAGTTGATGCGGGGATCGCGGCGGATGGCCTTGTGTTGGGGATCGACGAGGATGACCTCGAAGTACTTGTAGGTGGAGTCCTGGTTGATCCAGTACGAGTTCAGGACGCGCAAGTTAGCACAGCGGCGGCCGACACGCTCCTCAGCGGTCGACTTGAGGGAGCGCTGGTACTTCAGCTGGTTAACTCCCTGGTTGGTGGGCTTGCCTAAAAAGAGAAAATTCGTTAGTTGGAAAGTTTCGACGAAAATATAGTCGGGATTGGGAGGCCATACCGAAAGTGGCACCCTTGGACACTGGCTTCTTGCGTCCACCACGGCGAACACGGACGCGGTAGATGACATAGCCCTGCTTGGCCTTGTAACCCAGACGGCGGGCCTTGTCTGGTCGCGATGGGCGGGATGCGCGGTGAATGACATTCAGTTGGCGAAGCTATATTATGCACTCTCAGCAATGTTCAACGAGTGTATAGCAGAGACATAGAAATGTCCACAGTATGTATTTTGGAGACCTCGAAAACCCTATAGCAATGCCGAAGTGATCGAGGTCGTCGGACAAGGTATTATCTTACCTCCCAGCAGCGGACACGGAGAAGGAAGCGCAGCACATCAGACTGCTTCTTCTTCTGAAGTTCTTCGACGTACTTAAGGGCACCCATCTAATTGCCTCAGAGTCAGCTGTATGTTCCAGTATCAATCCTTTGGGGTTGGTGAGCTCACTTTCGATTGTGATGGGGTTGCGATGGTCGTCAGTTGTCGTGTGGAATCTCGGAATGAAATTTCAATATTGCAGGGACGAAATGTGCGTCGCTTCGCGGCACCAAAAATTTAGGGCACCGCTAGCGCAACGCTAGTGCAGCCGCGCGACTATAATCAACAACACCTGCATTTACAAGAATTCGTCAAGACAGCTTCGATGGAGACCTACGACGTTCTCGACTTGTTATACTTGCATCATTTATTAATGGGCAAAAACTCCATATACCCAGTAAAACAATAAATAAATTCTGTATACCCAGTTCCATCCCACGTGACTCGCCCAAGCCCAATCTAGAAACTCCCCCCGTTCTCATATGAGAATGGGCTGTAAACCCCCCGTAAACCCCCGTAAACCCCCCTGTTCTCATATAATAATGGGTCAATTATGAGGCCTGCGGCAAGTCCTGGCATTATGCCCAGGCTCGCCGCAGGTGCCGCAGCGTGTGCGGACCAAGTCCGGCACGGCGGCAGAAGTCCTCTGTGATCCCGGCGAGCCCAGCGTCCTCGAGGACGCCAGGCATCCTCCCTCCGAACCCTCTCTTTTCGCGGTCGGCCGCAGGGGATTCGGGTGACCGGAGGCACAGACTCCTCCTGAGGCGTTAGGGTCTACGAGAAGACCCTCGGCAGAGATCGGAGGCAGAGGCAGTTGATACTGCCTCTGCCAGCACACAGCAGACAGTTCTGTCGGGAGAAAGGAAGTCAATTGACTCCCTTGTTGAAAGATAAGAGTCATGGCGTGCCCACAAGGCACGCCATTCTCTTGGTATCGACGGCAAGAACTTTGTTCTTGCCGTCAGGTCAACGAGGTAGATCCTGCCTCTGGCTGGACTACCTGTGCGTCCGTTAGCGAGGACATCTGGAGCCCGTTGCAACGGGCCCCGTTCCTTCCCCTCCTCCATCATCGCGCGAGGGCTTCCGAAGGGGGTTTCCAGGGGGTCGGAGGAGGGAGGGAGCCTGGGAGGTGTCAGCGGGGTTCTGTGGTGGAGGGGAGGAAGAAGGGGGAGGAAGTTTGGGGGTCTCAATTGACCCCCGACTTACCGTGCAATTGAGCTGGTATATTGCTAGCTCAATTGCTTCAAAAAGGCCATATGAGAGCACGTACTCTCAAATGAGAGTACGCCTCTCATTGGCTCGTTAACCTTTCCAAAGGAGGGTTAGCGGCCGACTGGGTAGATGGAGTTTTCTTACCAGTTTACTGGGTATATCGAGTTTTTGCCCTTTATAATAACCTTGTGGTAATTTCGTCATGGCGACCAGCAGCAGATGAAGACATTTTATTGTTTGAATTCCCCAGTGTTAGCTTTTAATGGGGCAATTGACTTCTCATGCCCCTTCACTGATTACGAGGAGGGACTATATGGGGAAGCTCTTTAGCTATTATATATCGTAAAAGCTACAAAATCTGCAATACCCCATCCAGTTCTGTCTTTATAATGGCAGTAGCTCCTCCGTGTGTGTAAAAGCCAATCCCCTCCTGAAACCACATGGCATTGATCAATCACAGGGAAATGCTGAAGCAAGTTTCCCGACTGCTTTTCCTTGTTTCGCCGCAACGTCTGCCCATGTCAACCTTCCCTGGTCATCCGTTGCATCGTCAAATAGTGCACTAGAAGCTTCATCGTCGCCGCTTTGGAAGTCTTGCATCTGGAGACCGGTCAACAGAGTGGCGGCCCTGGCTTCTCCTTCACGCTTTCCACCTTCCAGTATGCCCTCCAGACTCCAAACATTCTGACTCCACTCCTGTTCCTTAGTTTGAGTTGACAACATGTGTGAGCCGAGCTCCAGGCCCAAATGATCGACCGCAGCAAGAAGCTGATGGCCATTTTCCGTGATTGACGTGCTTGCACCCTTCAGAGAGATCAGACGACCATGGCGGGTTCCCCCTATACAGAGGATGTCGCTCATAACCATCTGGTGCGATTCAACGAAAAAATATGAAAATTGGGCCTCCAAGCTCAAACTAAAAGACTCGGTCAACTTAGAAACGAAACATCCAGGATATCATCACGTACGATTGGTGAGCAATTGCCCCAAGATTTCCCGTAATTTCAGCCTGGCCATCCACTATGTGCTTGATGTCTTCCAAATACTTGACGCCTTTCTTCATCCCTTTATTCTTCTTGCTTGTCTTCAAAGCCTCGATGGAGCGTCTGGAATAGGGTCAGCGCAAACCTTCACCCATCCAACTAATACTTAGGAAATAACGTACTGGTTATCTGTCTTGCCTTCTTCTTCATATGAGGATGCAAATTTGACTTGGTTTGATTTCACAGCTTTGTCTTTCTTCCTTTCGCGATCCCGTTGTGCATGGGGTTGCTTCACAAAGAGCCCGCCTGTGTCGCGCTCAATCTCAATCTCAACATCTTCATAACTGTCCACCTCCAGAGCCTTGAAACTTGTAGGGTATGCACTCATTTGCCGCTTGGCTGCTCCCTGTTTTCCATGGCTGTCTACGCGGTATCAGCTCTTGGTTTGCCCGCCCTGGGTTATCACCTTTCAGACGAATTTGATCCGAAGTTGAAGATACACACCTTCCGGCTTTCGTCTTCTGCTCATCTTCCTATCCTGGATGGAGAGTAGGACTGGCCAGCAATAAGACCTTGGTGGATGGGCAGTTTGGACAGTTATGGGTCGCTCGTTGAAATATAGTATCGAATTTAAAACATCAGAAGTTGGGTTTGGGGTGCCAAAGCCTTGGGCAAACTTCATCCCCTTGGTCCAACCTATATAGTACCTTTGTGCTTTATTTGCGACTAATCTCCTTCTCTCCGTTAACAAACAGTGGTTGTAATGAATGAATGGGAGGGATTACACGTTGACAGAAATGAAGGCACAATTAGGCGAATGGAGACCAGTCAAACTTACAACATACAGACAGCATTGCAATCCCAATTTAGGAACCACACAGTAGCCTGACAATAAGAAACTTAAAATAATTACGGATATTTGAGGACATTATAGAATAAAAACGGAAATAAAAAGGTGATGCACAAACGCTTAAGTGAAAGTTGAATATCTTCCTTCACTATGTCTGGATTGGCAACGGAAACGTTGTTTAGTCTTTAAAAAACATTAAAAGGAGGAAGTCAACTCAAATGGGCATATCGGGGCATGTTCTCGAAGCAGAAATGATGAATTAATAGGCATTCACTCGTAGCTAAAAAGGCATTCAATGGATGAAGCTCATTGTGCTATCTGACGGCTGTGAAGTGTCAACTTCCTGCTCCGACCTATTCATGTCCCCGGCGATTTCTATCACTCGACCAAACGCGCTACTGTTCAGCCCAACCTTTTTGAATAAAAACATATGGAGCCGTATCCGATGCAAAGAGCAGAGGTAAGCGCATATTTAAGATGCTGGGGCAGCACCGCCGCGTCCACGTCCGAAACCACCACGGCTATAAATATGTAAGTCAACTTATCTCTTAACCAGGGACTTGAATAACTTACAACGAAGGGGCGAACTCTCCTGGGGCACCACCCTCCTTGCCCTCTCCGGCATCACGGCGACGGTAACCACCCTCGCGATCGCCGCCCTCACGGCCACCACGACCACCACGTCCTCCAAATGGCTTGCGCTCTGGGCGGTCACCCTCACCACCCATCATTCCGCGGGGAGGTGCGTGCGAGCGCTGCTGCTTGATGTGGGTAGCAGGAACGATCTCAGCTGGGAGATGGAGCCACTCGCGGAGGTAGTCGAGACCCTCGGGGGTCAGGGTGTAGTAGTAGTATTGCCACGAGAACTGGGTCTTGACATATCCGCGGGAGGTGAGGGACTGGCAAGCCTTGACGACGTACAAGTTCTTTGTGTCGATGTCGTTGTGCTTTGGCAAGTTGTAGTCCTTCTTGGCGACGAGGACACCCTCACGGAAGAGGTACTCGTGGATCTTCTTGCGGTCGGCCTTGGGGATGAGCCTGCCAGGAAAGTTGCGTTAGTATTGCCATCGCACACAATCTCTCCCGATACGCCTTAGTATAGAAGGTGTACATACATTTCGGCGGTTTTGAGTCGTTGACGAAGGAGGCTGGTGGTTGAAGCTCGACTTAGACAAAGCAATACCGAAAGTTCGCGATTGGGGTTTGGAGCCCTGACGGGAAATTTCTCGCTTACTATTTTCGCTTAGATAGCGCCTATGGTGAGAACCCCCCATGCAGGCATAAATGCGCTAGCTGGTGCATGTGGCTAGTGGCTTTCTTATGTACGGAGAACGATGTACCTTGTGGGTCCTTATCGCCATAGAGCCGCTCAGCCTCAAGGTAAATCGCCAGACGGGCTTTCATAGGCATAATAAACTCAGAAATATAACACACACAACCGCACTGGGCGATCTTCTACACCATGGCTCCGACGACTATCAACGTACTCCTTACCTCATTCCCAGGCCTCAACCTCCCCAAAACTCTTGTCCTCCCGATTCCATCAACTGCATCAGTGGCGGAGCTTTGCTATCAGCTTGCTGAACGCATCCCTCCTTTCAATGACCGACTTATTCTCACCACCTCCTCAAACAAGCAGCTTGAACTGAATTCCAGCGAACAAATATCAAGTCTCGTTTCCTCCGATAGCGATGCATTCGTATCCTTGCGCCTCTCCGCGCGTCTCTGTGGTGGCAAGGGTGGCTTTGGTTCCCAGCTTCGCGCAGCTGGCGGGCGCATGTCATCAAAGAAGAAGAGAAACCAGGGTGAAAACAACGGGTCAAGTCGCAACTTGGATGGCCGAAGGCTTCGGACGGTTACAGAGGCGAAGGCTCTAGCGGAGTATTTGGCGATAAAGCCGGATATGGAGAAGAAGGAGAAGGAACAACGCCGCAAACGCTGGGAACAAGTGGTGGAACTTGCGGAGAAGAGGGAGGAAGAAATTAAATCTGGATCCAAGGGGAAGCTTGACGGCAAGTGGGTGGAGGACAAGGAAGAGGCCGGAGAACGAACGAGAGAGGCAGTTCAGGCGGCCATAAGATCGGGCGACTACAGAGACAACCTCTCGAGCCGTCCTAAGTTGACAGCCAGCAGCTCATCTTCCGACGACAATATGGAGAGTGGAAGTTCGTTGGCGACTGACGTTGATTCAAAGATGTCTACACCACCATCAGGGTCAGATCAACGTAAACAGTTTTCAGTGTCATTTTTGGGGTTTGACGAGGACGATGACTTTATGAGCGACGATGAAAGTGAAGATATGGAAAATGAGGACAGGGAAAAAGTGCCAAAGGATGATGAGATGGAGCTGAGTCTTGAGGAACCACCAAAGGGCGAGGAGACGGACCTGGTCCCTGAGGTTCCAACCTCAATCCCCAAACCAAAGAAAGGGAAGGGCAAGGTGAAGTCAAAGTTAGACACAACAGAAACTGTGACGAAAACAAGAAGCAGTGCGAGGCGGAAGGCTTAATGTGTTTACGAGTATGTTTACAAGTCGTGCGGAAATGGAGTTAAGCCGTGTATAAATAGGTTAGAATGCCACTTTTAAGTTCAGCCTGCATTCCGTCAATTGAGCGGAGATGTCTCCTGTGTGATTCTGCCATCCACACCAGACGTAATAATAGCCTATGGCGGAAGTCACCGGGAAGCCCGTTGCCAACAATATAGTCTGGCTTCCTGTTGCCTGCAAGCCATGCCATGAACATCAACCGGAATCTGGGATTCAGGTGGCAACTGCGTTCTCGAACTATAAATTTAATGCAACAGAGTGCTCTTCGCCTCTACGGTCCGACTATACTGGACTCCCAGATGCAGACAAAGTAATATACGTAGATATTATATATGCAACACTTCTCCAGGCACTGTGATAGAACAAGAACTGCGTTTGATGTCCAGGTTTAAGCTCATACATTTATATCGCATATATAGCTGTAGCAAACATATCAATGAAGCAACCGGTGATAATAACAGGCGTAGCCAATGAATTTGTTCTACCGACTTCTACTCTACAATGTCCATCCTTCGTTTCCTGTTTGAGAGCCAACCAACATCATGACCTCCGCCAAACCTGTTCATGATGCACTAATCCAAACGGGCTGGGAAGGTGTTGTTTTCTAATATATATTGTCAGCTACAATCCATCGACACTTATCGGGGCTCCATACCGCGCTGATCGTCCCAGCGTTCAACCCAGCCACTTGGGCACAATGATCGGTATGCCAAAAAGAACTATGCTGTCAGCAAAAGTCGCCCTGCGGTCTCTCCGAGAGGAATTGGCATACCTGGCGGCAAGGAGCGAAGTCCTCTCCCTTAGCAATGATGCACTTGTGGTAGTCGACATAGTTTTGCCAGCAATGTTTCGTTTGGTTCTGGTTTGGGAAGCGCGCATCGAACCCTGTCAGAGAGGTGAGTTCAAGCCCAGGCATCACTCGTGCCAATTAAGGCAACCTGAGTAGAGGAAGGCATACCAGCTATATATCAATCAGCATGCGCTCCCAATTCAAGGAACAACTCATCAAGCGGGTGCCCGCGGAAAAACTTGGGGCGCGAACTTACCAGTCACAAACTTGAAGGGCTTGGTCTCTCTGTCGTCGTCAGACATGTTTGCGAAGTCCGTATGGAATGATAGTTAAGTGATGAGGTAGTGCCTGCAAGTCAATTGCTGAATTCTGTTTTAGCAAGTCGGCGAGGACTGGAGTACGTCGGCACCTTCAGATTCAGACGAGCTCGGCTAGCCAATTATGTTAGCGCGTAAATGGAGCTTCCGATATCTCGCTCAGACCACAGACAGAACTTCCAGAACAACATCACGAAGAACAGGAATTGCAACTGTCCACCACAGTCACGATGCGGTCGTCTACCCCTCTCAACATGTTTCAGCCGACAAGGCGAATGATGGTCCCTGTCCCTGTATGGCTCACCACACCACCCTCAATTGCCACTTCTAGGTGCACATGCTAACAGACTCCGAACAGAAGGAAGACCAAAGCGGTAAGGCAATCCGATAGACTCTAGACATGCAACTATATCTATTGCCCCCCCAATCTGGATGCCACTTTCTTGAAAGATTGTCGAGACTGATTCTAGATATCACAGCACATACCATCTCCCAGCGTCTCCGCCAGTGGAGAAGAATTCCTCCGGAGTTGGTCCCATTGGGTAGGTTAAGAATCATCCGCAATGCCAAAAGGTCAATAACTAAGTACTATAACCTGTAGGAATCGTCGTGGGCGTTGCTGTGGCCTTTGGTGCCTATTCGTTGGGCACCAAGTTGATGGACAAGCAGATGCGTCTGTCCCGCCAAAACAGGGGCCACGATTAGATCCCAGAACTGGAAAGGGTGGAATGGGGGACTAGGGATGGGCTTGTGGATCGTGGAGAGAACCCAATGTTGATACAATGTTAAAATGACGTGATCAGAAAGGTGGCGTCCCAATGTCAAACCTCTAGGGACTTTGTATATCAAATGGCATTTATTTCTAGTATGGCTGCTCAAGCAGTGATTGCTACCAGAACTTCATGAATTGAGATCCCCTCTTATCGAAAGACAAAGCATTGTCTGCAATTATACTCATGCAGACCGTCGATCAGAAACCATTGCAAGCCCTCTATTAACGCCGTTTTATGCCACCCCTCGGCGCCATGCTATACCACTTCCAAATTACTCGTCCTTTCCAGTGCCGTCACAAGTCATCTAGCTTTAGGCCCCGCAACGTCTAATCCTTCAAGCCCCTGCATGGGATCATCTGGCCTTTCTTCCGTGCCATGTCCATGGTCTGTTGTGAGCCTATCCTCTTCATCGACTGCATTCTCTGCCAACCATCCTTCCTTTGTGCCCAGCCAAGTCAGTAAAAAACACCGCATATATGCAACAAGGAGAGTGTATTAAGGATATTTACCTGTTCCCACACTGCAGTCTTGCTCCCTAGGCCTTCATTTGCATTCTTTTGAGGCTTAGCTGCCGAGACTTTAATGACTCGCCCAAATAGCTCGGCCTGGTCCATATTATCGATAGCTTCCAGTGCATCTGAAGGATCCTCAAATTCTACATAACCAAAGCCCCGGTGGAGGTCTGTTGATAAAGGAGCTTCTGGCTTTGGAAGTGAAACGCCGACTATCTCTCCGAATGGGATGAAGGCTGCATGAAGGCTCGCGGCGTCCACTACCGGCGCAAGGCCACCAACGTAAACCGTTCCCTTCAACCGTGCTTGCTCCGTCATTTCAGAGGTAGACCGTCTTCGTACAGGTTATATGTGGTTTTGTGTGATTTGGGTGGGAGTGAAGTGAACTGATAAAACGCTCAGCTTCTGAAAGAAGAGTCACGTGAATTTAACTTCCAAGTCACCGCTATCCATAACCCTTGTATCTTGGCAACCCGAACGTGTCTTTAATTCCACAGTGGCATCCAGGCTTACATCACCTCTTAACATAGCTGATCCAATCTTTAATGGTGACAGCTTCACCTCTCCAGCCTTCTTCTAACCACTTCAATCGGCATCCACACGACCGAACTTTATACTTCCTTTACCACCATCATCACTGATCCACACAACCACTTAACTCGGCGACCAAAACAACTTGGACGGCGCTATGGTCCGGTTAAGGGAGATACCCAGAACAGCTGCTTTCGCGTGGTCGCCTGGCACTGGACTGCCCATACTAGTCACCGGAACCAGGGCAGGTGCTGTGGATGCAGACTTTTCGGACGAGACGAAATTAGAGCTATGGGACTTGAACCTGGACAATTTGGAACAGGGGGTTGAACTCCAGCCTATTGCTAGTATCAGCACAGATTCGAGGTGAGGACAAATGCAATCTACTATTAAATATCCCGGCACAGCTGATTTTCTCGGCTGGCAGGTTCCATGATATCGCCTGGGCACCTCCAAACGAAGACCACCCCAAGGGTATCATTGCGGGGGCACTTGATAATGGCTCCTTGGACTTATGGGATGCACAAAAGCTCCTTGAAGGATCAAGCGATGCTTTTATGTCCCGAACGTCAACACATGCTGCCGCGATCAAGTCTCTTCAATTCAATCCCTTGAAGCCCGATATTTTGGCCACCGCGGGCGCGAAAGGGGAACTATACATTTACGATGTTAATGATATGTCGAACGCTTCCAAACTTGGCAACCCCCAGGCGCGGTCCGATGATTTGGAATGCATTGCTTGGAATAGAAAAGTCCCCCATATTCTGGCCACTGGTTCAGTCGCTGGGTTTGTGACAGTGTGGGACTTGAAAACAAAGAAAGCAACTTTAACTCTAAATAATAGCCGCAAAGCTGTGGGAGCTATTGCATGGGATCCGAATAATCCTACGAAGTTATTAACGGCTACGCCGGACGATTCTACTCCTGTTATCCAACTCTGGGACCTCCGGAACTCGAATGCCCCTGAGAGAACATTACAGGGACATGAGCAAGGTGTCCTTTCACTTTCGTGGTGCGAACAAGATAGCGATATTTTACTCTCTTCTGGTAAAGATAACAAGACGTTATGTTGGAATCCCCAGACCGGCGAACTTCTTGGAGAATTTCCTGAAGCCACAAATTGGACCTTTCAGACGCGATTCAGCCCACACAACCCCAATTTGTCCGCAACAGCATCGTTTGACGGCAGGATCTCCATCCAGACCCTGCAAAACACCAACCAGCTTGTCGGCCAAGGGGCAACCAATGGTCTTACAGATGGCGAGGACTTCTTCAACAAGGCGCAAACCCAGCCGCAAGGATCATCGTTCACTTTAACGAAGGCCCCGAAATGGAGCGAGCGTCCTATAGGTGCTTCGTTCGGATTTGGGGGCAAGCTGGTTATATTCAGCCAGCAGCCGACGGCGGCAGGGGGGCAGCGTTCCTCGAAAATACAACTATCAAAGTTTTCAGCCGATTCCGGTGTTGCCGCAGCCACAGAGGCATTCGAAACATCTTTGGAGTCCGGCGACATATTAGGAATCTGCAAATCCCATATTGAGTTGGCGAATACAGAAGAGGAAAGTGCTGATTGGGAAGTCATCAAAGCTCTTGTTGCTGAGAGCCCCCGCAAGAGTGTCACAGAGTATCTTGGATTCTCAGAGACCGAAGATGCGTCGACTGACGTTAAGGATGCCACAACTCTCGATGCCGATGCCGCAAAAGACTCTGAAACAACACCAGATTTGACATCTAAGGCCAAAAATAACAGGCTGTCAACGTTTTTCAACGACAGCCCGGATACCGATGATTTTCTGTCGGATCTGTCGCCAATGAAGACAGCCAAAACCAACAATCCATTTCACTTACTTTCGGATTCAGACTCGCAATCAGACCGCGACATAACAAGAGCACTCATGCTTGGCCAGTTCGAGCATGCCATGTCCATATGTCTGAAGGATGATAAAATGGCCGATGCTTTCGTCATTGCCAATTGCGGGGGCAAGGAGCTACTGGCTAAGGCTCAAAAAGCGTATCTGGCAAGGGCGGCTAAAGGACCTAAATATTTACGCCTCCTTGCTGCAGTAACCGACAAAAACTTGTGGGATATTGTGTACAATGCCGACTTTACAAACTGGAAAGATTCGATGGCTACCTTGTGCACATACGCCGATCCAACAGAATTTCCTGATTTGTGCGAGGCTCTAGGTGACCGGATACTTGATTCTGGTGGCTCCCGCAGGAACGCCTCGTTTTGCTACTTGGTTGGATCAAAGCTGGATAAAGTCGTTGGTATCTGGATATCTGAACTTCATGAGCAAAAACAGGAAGGCTTGCAAAAAGATGGCCATGATACGAATTTCTCCGTACATGCACATCTGTTGCAGAATTTCATTGAGAAAGTTACGGTTTTCCGCAAGGTAACAAACTTTGCGGATACTGAGCAAGATTCAAGTGATGGGTGGAAGCTCGGGCCCCTGTACGAGAGATATGTGGAATACGCAGATATTCTGGCGTCTCATGGCTTCCTTGATACAGCAGACAAATATCTCAATCTTCTTCCGGCTCAGTATTTGGCGGGTGATGTTGCGCGGAACCGAGTTAAGCAGGCCTCGAAGAAGGCAACACTACAGTCTCAACCCCGTCAACAGCAGCCTGAAGTATCGAGAACAGTTCCCAGACCCCAGCAAACTAGCTCGTTTCCTTCTCAGCAGCGCCCCGTGGAACCCTCTAGGGTAGCAAACCCCTACGCGCCTTCCCCATTGGCACATGCGCCAAATCCATATGCTCCTCCAGCGCCAGCATACGGGTCTCAACAGGCATATGGTTCAAACCAACCGCAAGGAAATTATGGGTCTCCGTCGATGCCTCCTCCTACATGCTTCTCTCAGGACAACGCGTATGGCCAATTTGGAGCTCCTCCTAGGAACATAACTCCCTCGCAGCCTCCTCCGTCCAAAGCAAAGGAAATGACCAACTGGAATGATACGCCAATGGTGACAAAGCCATCCATATCTAGAAGAGGAACCCCAGGAACAGCTCCAGCTCCCATCACTTCGCCATTCCCCAATCAGCCAAACCTCGCTTTACCACCATCGGCTCCACCGTTTGGCGCGCCGCCAAGGGGCACTCCTACACCTCCCCCGCCACCTCCAAAGAGGTCCATGGCACCCAGAGTAGCATCGCCACTGGGTGCTGGGCATCCTCCGCCGTTTGGACAGGCTTCTCGGCCATCTCCTAACCTTAATGCCTATGCGCCACCGCATGCACAAGGTGGGCAAGGCTATTCTCAGGCCGCCCCACCGCCAGCGATCGCTCGAGGACCGTCGCCATATAATGCTCCGCCGTCAGGCCCACCCCCCACAAACCGCTATGCACCAGCTCCCGCTACTCAGAAGCCTTCTCAACAAGTGCCAGGCCAGGTCCCACCGCCTCCACAGGCAGGTTTCCGACCTCCACCACCGTCCAACCCATATGCCCCCCAGCAAGTTCCCCAGGCAACTCATAACCAGCAACAGTTCCAGCATACACAGCCAGGTCCGGCCCAAACAGAGCCACCTCGTGGCACAGTGTCAACTTCGAGGCCCGGCACTGCACAGGGACAGGTGCCCAAGCCACCTGCTTCCTCATCAAAATACCCAACGGGTGACCGGTCACATATACCTGCGTTCGCTCAGGATATGGTAGGTATATTGAGCAATAATATGCAGCGAGTCGCTAGCAAAGCACCTCCGAATTTCGCTGCTCAGGTGAAAGATACACAGAAGCGACTAAACATATTGTTTGACAATCTTAATAATGGGGAGCTTGTTAAGCCAGATACAATCGAAAAACTTGACGAACTAGCCCAGGCTCTTCAAGCAAAGGACTACGATACGGCTTCAAGGATCCAGGTGGATATCCAACGAGAGAAGCTGGATGAGTGTGGAAACTGGATGGTAAGGACAGCACATCCTGCGTGTCGGCTGCGTTGCTAACTTTATGTCTAGGTTGGTGTTAAGCGTCTGATAAACATGAGTAAAGTAACCCCATAGATCATGACTAAAAGGCAGCCAGCCCGCACTTGATTATCAGCGCGATCCATTCTGCTGGTGGAAGTGTGTTTCCGACCAAGGAAGGATTCAAGCGATTACAATCTATGTGTTTAGCATTATGACGAAACATCCGAAGTAGCATATAGCGTGCTGCTTTTCTGCGTTCGAAAAATCACAAAGAGTTTGAGAATATTAGTTTTCCGTTGCATAGACAATGTATGCACCACCAACACGATATTGAGTGACAGTATTGCACCCGGGTGGTATTGAAGTCATCGGTAGCTCTACCTATGACCCAATTGGGTCCATATGCGGCCAAGTATCACGTATAATATGCTTAAATAATTCGAAGCCATCTCATCGATCGAGCTATAGTGAGCTGATCAATCTACACGACCAACAAATAGTTGAACATAGATATAATACGTAGGCGGGTAAACTGTGGCTAGTCATGGCCCATAGGAAGGCAACCAACTGGCTGCTCGCAGGGTTATGAAGATAGTACACTTGATAAATCATCCCTTCGTTGTACGTTGGTGGACTGGGTGCGTATAACAAAACAAACATCTGGTTGGTGGTTGGTTCCGTTTGGAGCTGTCGCGTAGGCTGACAAATGAATATGTAGTCCCCGCCAATATTTACATAAGATCGATGATGGGGTGCCTTGCATAGCCCGGGTGCTGAAAAGTGCCAGTCCAAGGTCGACCTTGCCAAAATATGAGGTAGTGACGACGTGAAGCTTCCGACTAGTCCCCACCAAACCTCGCGACAAAGTTACACGAGTCAATATGAATGCAAGCCAGCCCTTATCCACAGAAGGGCAAGAGGCCCCCCAGTTGCCAGAAACAGGTCTCTTCCGGCGTGCCTATGATGCACCTCCAGTATATATACCAGACCAAAGGCCAGTAACAATTCATGGCAGAAACGGACAGCAGCCACTGGGTCGTGGAAGATCCATGAGCCACTCTTACCCATCAACACCACACGGCAAGAAAAAAGGCCACGGGTACCATACGGCCATGGAGACTGGTTCGGGTGACAGCAACAACAGAGCTATGTTCAGTGCCTTAACGCTTCAGAGTCCCTTGAAGCCCGGAGCGAGCAGATCTGCCAGGGCCCAACAAGATCGAGATTTGACGACGGGGAAATGCATGACTTGCGACTCGATGGTTCGATGGCCCAAAGAACTGGCCGTATTTCGATGCTCTGTATGTGTAACTATAAATGATCTGACACCGATCAGTACAGTTCAAGATTCCGGAAGCGACCATCGTAGACATCGCACGAGAGAATCTGGCCCCTCTCGAAATTCTTCTCTATCCAGAGGTAGGCAAGCATACAGCTGTTGCCAGAATCAAATTCATTATATCTGACTGATTTGTAGTAGCGTCGCCGATAACTACTCGTAAGACGAGCACTTTGATTGAGCGATGCATCCAGTCCTACATCGTGTCTCGGCTTGGAGGTGATAAAGACTCTTACTTTGCATGGAACAAACATGTATCTGACGCCCTACCGTGCCATGCAGCGTCGGAAGACAATATACTTGTCGATTCAGAGCCCGATGCTACATTGAAGCCTATGTGCATTGCTACAGGAATCTCAGAAGACTCTACTAAGGCGAAGGAAACTTCTTGCTCGGAGTTCAACCATGTAGGCTGCGAGCGCTGTTTTAATACAGAGGATTCGAAGGTGCCTACTGTTGGCAACCAGTATGGTACGTCGGTGAAGGACCCCCCCCATCCTGCTGAGCGAATCGACAAGACGCATGTCCCATGTCCCAACGACGGAACAAGAAATATTTTCAGGCCACTGGAAAATTATATAGTTGCATCTTTCCAATCGCATGATTGCATCAATGGATCATTTTCTACCAAACTGGCGTCATTCGAATCCAAGCGCCCAAGTGAAGGAAGCTTGAACTTTACAGGGCCAGTCGAGGATGGAAAACGGCGACGTACTCACGATTTATTGCCGCCAATGGTTACTAAGACGCTCCCCAGAGATCTCAGAGAGAATGAAGCATGGCGTATTGAAGGTTATGCCATCCCAAGCCATCCTAACGGATCGGTACCACAAAGGGGAAACACAGCAATTGCAAATGGGGCCAACGCTCTCAACGAAGTCAACAAAAGCTCGCCCCGGATCGATTGGGGTGAAATTTTCCAGTGGTATGATCTAATAATACACGTTGGTGATGACTGGCGCCATCATATGGCCGAGATCCTCCATTCTGTTGGTTTGGGTTTTAATAGTCCATCAGTTGACGAAATGAACCATATAGAAGGAGAAGTCTTTGGGGCACAACGGCACATAAGGCGTGTTCTATTAAAAGCCACGGAAGGCCTCTTAAAAAGGCCGGGGGGATTATTGAATGAAGCAAGCGACATCAGGTTTCTTCTGATTATTTTGGCCAACCCGCTTCTTTACCCGTCATCTTCGCCAATACCAAGGGGCGGTGTTCGAGTGTCTCGAGCCCCCCCTGAGTGTCCTGATCCCATAAAAATCGCAGCATTGGCGAGTTTCTCGAAAAACAAAAGTCCATTAAGGCCTCTATTGATAACAGAAGACACTGGCACTGGGCCTGGGCATCATTCGGGAATTATCAAGCGCATACTCGGACTACTTTCAAACCTCCCCAACGAGTGTCATCATCATCTGGTATCATGGTTTTCAGAGTTCTCCGAAGTCCATTTCCAACGAATAACCGAGTTAGTTGGCAGTTTTGTAACATATCGCCTAACAAGGCAAAATAATCGAAGGCACGATACTAGCCATGATCCTACTGGTGGCTTAGTCCCAAACATGCCTTCATCTGGCCACAGGACCATGGCAGCATTCCATGCCGAGTTTAATGGAAGAGGGCAAGGTGCAAAATTCTCTATGGAAAAGCAGAATAATGTCAAGTACAGTGATGACTGGCAAATTCGAGCGGCAGCCCGAGTCATGTCGTTACTATTTGCGGCAAACAACTATGGTAGTCATCGCCGCAATGGCCTATTGCTGCATCTCTCACATAGGGAGCACCACATTTTTCCAATACCTCATGAACACACATATCATCGCAAGCAGATACTTCCCACTAGCCACTTCTACAACACCTTACTCGACTATTCGGACTTAATAGCAGATTTCGAAGCCTGGGAGGCCAAGAAAGGGAAGTTCACATTTTGTCAATACCCCTTTTTTCTGAGTATCTGGGCAAAGATACAAATAATGGAACATGATGCTCGACGCCAGATGGAAATAAAGGCCAGAGAGGCTTTTTTTGACAGTATAATGACCCGCAAGAGTGTCAATCAGTATTTGGTACTGAAAGTACGTCGGGATTGCCTGGTCGAGGACAGTCTCAAAGGCGTGAGCGAGGTTGTGGGCGCTAGCGGCGAAGAAATCAAGAAGGGTCTTCGGATAGAATTTAAAGGCGAGGAAGGTATTGATGCAGGGGGGTTACGAAAGGAATGGTTTCTTTTGCTCGTCAGAGACGTGTTAAACCCCGAACATGGTATGTCACGGTTATAATGGATTCCTAAATGTGACTGACAGTTTGTACAGGAATGTTTGTCTACGACGAAGAGTCTCACGTTTGCTACTTTAACCCTAGTAGCTTTGAAACTTCTGATCAGTTTTTCCTCGTCGGTGTGGTCCTAGGCCTTGCTATCTACAACTCGACCATCTTAGACGTTGCACTTCCGCCTTTTGCTTTTAGGAAACTGTTGGCCGCTGGTCCTAGTTCTCTTCCAGGGTCTCCTTCTCATGCAAAACCTACTATGGTTTATACTCTGGACGATCTTGCGGAATATCGCCCTTCTCTTGCACATGGGCTCCGCCAACTACTAGAATTTGATGGCGATGTCGAGGAGACATTTTGCCGTGATTTTGTAGCGGATGTCGAGAAATATGGGAAGATCCACCAAGTACCGCTTTGCCCCGATGGCGAAAAACGAGCCGTCAATAACTCAAACCGCAGGGAATTTGTAAATCTCTATGTGAAATATCTTCTGGATACTTCTGTCGTTCGGCAATTCGAGCCATTCAAACGGGGGTTTTACACCGTGTGTAGTGGCAACGCGCTCTCCCTGTTTCGACCCGAAGAGATTGAACTTCTTGTTCGAGGTTCAGATGAACCGTTGGATATTTCCTCACTTGAAGCGGTGTCTGTTTGTGAAAATTGGGGCGTCCCAAACCCGGCTGAAATGGAACCGGTCATTCAATGGTTCTGGCAATCGTTCAAGAATGCAGACCCTAAAGACCAGAGAAAGCTTCTATCTTTTATAACAGGCAGCGATCGAATACCTGCTATGGGTGCGGCCAATCTGGTCATTAAGCTTTCGTGCCTTGGTGACGATAGCTTACGATTCCCGATAGCTCGAACATGTTTCAACATGCTGTTGCTGTGGCGATACAGCTCTCGTACAAAGTTTGAGCGGTTGCTCTGGCGGGCCGTCAATGAAAGTGAGGGGTTTGGCTTGAAATGATGTATGCGATCCCCACTACATTGATTGAATCGTTCGTGCTAGCCACAGGGGACAATAGCCAAGTTAATTCAGATCAGATATACATATTATACATAAATACATTGCTTGAGCCCCACGGCCATTACCAAAAAGTAATAGGACTCCATAGCATGGTCTGGTAATACTAACGTACACTAAACGCCGCATCTGGTCTTACACCCCTACTCCATGCCAGTATTTTACAGGATATCATCAAGCTGCTGATCGGGCCTGTGCTAGGATGGCTTCTTCCCGCTTCTTCTCTGCGTTAAAAATGCGATGCCTGGCAGAGTCTCTCTCGCCCACTTCCTTGAGGGCTGCGAGCTTTTGAAGTTGCTCCACCTCTTCGGGAGTAGGCTCCACGGGAACGGCATTTGTCAAGGCGAGTAATTGTGACAGTATCTCAGACTCGTGCCTGTGCTTCATATTGATTGTCACCACGCGCTGTTGACTCGAGGCTGGAGGTTCGGTTTGGGTACCAGCCACAGGCGCGGATGGGGTTTGGGGATGTGTAGCGTCATCGAAGTAAACCGTCATAAGTGCCGGGCCTTCCTGGTTTGTGGTTCTCTCCAAAGTCATGGATACTGTAGGGTTGTGGTACTTTAGGCGTGGGAGGCATGAATGCCAAAATTTCCTGGTCAATTCAGTACAGTGCCCATATTGCGGTCGAGAGATTGGGCATTTCTACCTTGGTCCGTAATGTCCATCGTTCATCCTCTTCGCAAATTCCATGTGCAGCTTGGTGACATTCTTAGGTAAAACGGCAGCTCCTGGCCCTAACTTAATAGCAAGCAGCTAGATGTGTCTGTCAACGTGTGGCCCTGCGTTCGTTTTGAGGAAATAAAATACCTTCTGAATCGGGTCAACGTTAGCAATGGATTGATTGGGCCACAACGGAGAGGATAATTACTTACAGCGCGAAGCTTGGTCATCCGCCTCAATATACTGACCATGTTTGCAAAAATGAGCGTTCGGAATGCTAAGTAGGACTATGCGAAGGGAAAGATTGTGAATTGGTGGTCCAAATAATTTCGGTTTGGCGTCAAACGTCGGTGCTCGGAACATTTCCCCGGATTTTTGGAAGCGCTACTGCTGGCGTAGTAATATTTGAGTTCAACTCCGTATCTCGCGCCTCCCTTCACGGAAAAGAAACAGGAACCAATAAACGCACAAAAACGACTTCAATGAAGCTGTAGTGTACTGCATTTTAACAATGGCGGGTATACGAGCAGGATCCAAACTATCTGTATCTGCTGGAAGAGTTGAGCTCTTTGCTGGCATTGATTTGCCACACTTTCTCTGTCCAGCCTTGCTCTCAAGCACCCGGTCCCTTACCCGATTTAAGGCGTCTTCTCGCGCTCTGCAGACGCCCTCGCAGCGATCACAAACACGATGCCTCTCTATACTACCCCGGGCGGCAGCAGTTAAAGATTATTCACGCTTTGAAAACCGCGTCCCCGAATTACCACAACGATGCGCCGGGTGCGGGTCGTTTTCCCAAACCTCCGATGCCACTGCACCCGGTTTCTACACCTTGACAAGGAGATCAGTGGAGGCCTACCTGCAAGGAGAAGCGAAAGGCCTTGCCAAAGGCCAATCTGTGGACGCCCATGCGCTCGAATCTGCATTGGGCCGAGTTGATGGGACTGTTCTCGACTCACTGAAGACCCAGGCAGTTGTCCCAGCACAAAATATCGCAGATCCTGTCTGTGATCGCTGCCACAAACTCAAACATCACCACTCGGGACAATCTATACAGCATCCGTCCATCCAATCGATCCAAGACACGATATTAGAGTCACCTCATAAATATAACCACATATACCATGTGGTTGACGCGGCAGACTTCCCGATGTCCTTGGTACCTGGGTTATATCAACTACTTCATTTAACACCTCAACGATCCATGAATCGGCGTTCGAAAACAGGCCGATTTTACCATGGCAAGAAGACTGAAATAAGCTTCATTATTACTCGCTCGGATCTCCTAGCCCCTGTTAAGGCTCAAGTCGATTCGTTGATGCCACGCTTGGTTGAAATATTGAGGGATGCCCTTGGGTCATTGGGGAAAGATGTCCGACTTGGAAACGTGAGGTGTGTTAGCGCACGTAGAGATTGGTGGACGAAAGACTTGAAAGAGGATATCTGGGAACGGGGTGGCGGGGGTTGGATGGTTGGAAAGGTGAACGTCGGCAAGAGCAGTCTTTTTGCGAGTGTCTTTCCTAAAGGGAGGCGCGGGGCTGCTCACCAAGTCCCATCATTTTCGACGCCGACCTCGAAGCCTATCATGGATACCGCGTTGGGAAAATACGACAGCTCCCTTGGAGTCACGGGATTGCTGGACCCCCTGACCCTTCTTCCTCCAGCTGTAGAGGAGGTCGATTATCCTGCCATGCCTTTGGTCCACCCATTGCCGGGTACAACGGCTTCTCCTATCCGGGTTCCTTTTGGCGGAGGGAAAGGCGAGTTAATAGATCTTCCTGGCCTCGCCCGTGGCGACCTTGAATTGCATGTTCAAGAACCTCATCGACTGTCCTTGGTAATGCGATCTCGAGTGGTTCCAGAGCAGCAGGTCATTAAGCCTGGCCAGTCTCTTCTACTTGGCGGTTTTATTCGCATTACTCCGGTTGGCCCAGAATGCACAATTCTTGGTTATGCGTTCACACCAATATCATCACACCTAACAAGTACGGAGAAGGCTATCGGAATTCAAACGCAGTCGCTAGAGACAGGGGTTGAGAATATTTCTGTTACCGGGACTGGCGAAAAGATCAAATCTGCGGGTACGTTCCAACTCAAATGGGATGTAACGAAGCAACGGTCTGGGCCTATTACCGCATCAGATGCAGCGGGTATCACGGCTGATAGGCTGCCGTATTGTATATTATCTACGGATATTCTCATTGAAGGTTGCGGATGGGTGGAGCTTGTATGCCAGGTGCGCAAAAGGCAATTAGAGCCTTCCGGCGTACTGGGTGGAAATGGGAATGACGACAGCAACAGCCTCGAACAAGCCTCTGCCAATGTTAACTGGCCTGAAGTAGAAGTTTTCAGCCCTGACGGCAAATTTATTGCATCGAGGAGGCCACTAAACGGCTGGCTGAATGGAGGGCCAAAAAAACCTAACTCCAACGTCAAAGGTCGGCCCCGGAAGAGTATGAAGGGTGCGAAAAAGAGGATGAAGACTGCCATGAGGGAGGCAAGCCGCTAGTCATAGAGGGGTGCTTTTTGGGGGGGAGGGCAAACTGTTGATAAACCGGAACTTATATATATCTATGCCGACAACACTCTAATAATATACAACTAAACTAATACACTATCCATCCGTCATCATGGAGCGGGAGATGTAGGCTTGGGAACCTCCGGCACTGCTTCGGCAGCGGATACAGGAGGTGTCATAGGTAATGGTACGGCTCGTCGAGGCCTTTTCAACTCCTCCATTGTAACTCCATCCAACTTCGTAACTCCAACAACGGCAGGATCGCCCTTCTTCACAAACTCATACATACCTAATATCAGTAGTTAGCCACTATAAATACAGGTATTTACATAATTGAGTGGCGAAGGGCTTACCTGGCATTTTGTTCCCTGCCAGCCTGAATGCATCACGTGCCACCTGCTCGTGAATGTCTCCCTTCAACTCAAAGATGACCTTGCTGACCGCAATTCTCGAAGCCCAGTGATCAAACGATCCCTTTCCTTTTCCCATGCGAACCTAACAGGTTAATATTAGCATTGGGCCCTTCCATTCCTTGATGTATATGCCGTACCTCATTGCCGCTGGCATACACTCCAATGCTAGCACAAACTCTCTTGAACAATCGATATCGCATCCCTCGCAGCCTGACTTTTATAGCCTCTTCTCCGTTCTTTAACTGCAACGCACTAACTCTGCGATGGTGGTCGCACATCCGCAATCCATAGTCGCCCCAGACCACGGTAGTGCCGCGAGAGGACCCGCCAGTCGGAACACGAGGTCGGCCTTTGCGAGATCTTTTTTTTTCGGGCTGCGTAGGTAAAAGCCAGTCTCCCAATACGGCTGGCGTACTAGAGAAAGTTCTACGGGTTGTGGACGAGGTCAAAAAGGAGGAGGGGGTCGCAGGTGCTTTCGAGAGGGCTGAGATGGCCCTGGGTATTATCGAAGGGCGATAGGCCGACGAATTGAGTGTTAGGCGCTCAACGCATGCTGATAAGGTGAGTGTTGATGAGATCGAGGCCTTCATATTTATCAAGTGGTGGTTGTGACGTTGAGCCAATTCAGCCTATAATTTGTCGTCGAAGTTGAGCCGCAGAATAATAAAGGTTCCAAAAGGATAGCGCTAAAACGGAACTTACCCTCGCTCTTGGTACCCATGGAGGAGGTGGTTGCCTTTGACGCGTCGGCACATGACTTGATACGTTCCACGCCTACCCTGACGCCTTCGTTAATTAAATCGCGACTCGAGTATCTTCATTGCCAATTACTTATAGGCAAAGTCAACAGTTACAAGACAGAGCTCCACGAGCATGTGAGATACATATAGCTTCATTTGGCCGAATTAAACAATTGCATCAGTCCGAATTTGTTCTAGACGGTGCAGCAGCGCCAACATGCCTGCAGATATACGGAACTTTTTTGGTGGTAAGGGAGCTGTCCCAGCGCCCAAGAAGGAGAAGGTCAGTAGCATTTCTATGTTATTATAGTCTATCTCTGTCAGTGCTTGCGACAGGACTTACTTTCTCGGCGAAATTGCAATTGTATGGCGCTGTTGTATCTCTTTAGGCTTATTGTGCACGGAATTTGATCGTCTAACTAACATCATCCACAGGCTGAAGCTCCCAGTTCGCGACGGAAGCAAACCCGTAAAATTATAGACGAAAGCGATGGGGACGAAAATGAAGTAAAAAAGATCGCCACTCCAAAGAAAGCTATGTCAAAAAAGCTGTCGAATAAGACCTCACCGAAAGGCGAAGAGACCACCACTAGTGATTATTTCGCATCGAAAGGATCGAAGAAGATTGCAAAAAGCACACCAGATCCAATGAAGTTGACAGCACTGTCCCCACGCCCAAAGACAAAGTTATCAACTACAAACCTCGTTGAGCAAAAACCGCTAAAGGCCAAGTCGCAAGGAAAGGTCTACAAGAACGCGGAGGACGACGACGAAGGGGCATTCGTGGATAACGACGACCTCGATGCAGGCGATGATATTTTTGCTGCAGCTGTGAATACTGGTGGGAGGCGGAAAGAGGAAGATGATTACATGGAGATTGATGGCGACTCCGACGATGATGTGGTTGTTACCAAGATGTCCAAGAACGGCAAGCTTGCACCAAGAAGTAGGAAGCGGAAGTCAGCATCGCTAGACCCGGATGACTCTGGCGAGTTCGACGCACCCAAGAAAGGATCCAAAGTGAATGATGAGAAGAAACCACCTGCAAAAAAACCTCGGGCTGCACCAAAGAAAGAAGCTATTCCTGAGAGCGCAGAAATGCAAGCAGTACTTGATAGCATTCCGACTGTGGAAGCTCCACCTCCCCCATCGAAAAGTGCAGATGGCAAGAAATTTAATTGGAGGAAGGCCGCTGCTGGCGGAGGTAATTCGGGCCCACCTCCAGGAGCTGGCCCAAAGGAGTTGCCGGTGGGAGCGGATAACTGTCTGGCTGGACTGACCTTTGTTTTCACTGGCCTTCTCGAGACAATTTCTCGCGAAGAAGGACAGGAGCTTGTCAAAAAATATGGTGGAAAGGTAACTGGAGCACCCAGTGGAAAAACGAGCTATGTTGTTCTTGGGTCGGATGCCGGGCCAAGTAAACTGGAGAAGATTGCGAGCCTTAAAATAAAGACAATCAATGAACATGGGCTCTTCGCTCTGGTTTGTGCCACCTCAGAGCACTTGACACAAACCGGAGGCACAACACGGGCAGCTGAGAAGGCACTCGAAAAACAGAAAGAAGCCGAAAAGAAGATGAAAATTGAAGCAGAAGAAGAGGAGAGGCAGGAACGTATAAGAGCAGCTGAATCTGAAAATGCAGCACGCAAAGCTGCTGAATCACGGGGACTTGCTCCACCTGCGAATAAAAATCTCGCAGGCTCTCAGTTATGGACTGTTAAATACGCGCCCTCGAAGATGAATCAAATATGCGGCAACAAAGGCCAGGTCGATAAAATCCAGACTTGGTTACAAGGCTGGCCTAAAGCGCACAAACTTGGTTTTCAATTGCCTGGCAAAGATGGTCTTGGTATATACAGGTCAATTGTTATCTACGGGCCCCCCGGAATTGGCAAAACTACAGCCGCTCACCTTGCATCCAAACTCGAGGGCTACGACGTTATAGAGAGCAACGCCAGCGATACAAGGAGCAAGAAGCTCGTAGAGTTCGGCTTCCAGGATGTACTCAATAACAACTCCTTGCTGGGCTTCTTTGCAGGACATGACGAGCCGGTGGACTCTAAAAAGAAGAAAATCGTGCTTATCATGGACGAAGTAGATGGAATGTCTGCCGGTGACCGTGGTGGAGTAGGTGCACTTGCTAAGATATGCAAGAAGACCGACATTCCCATCATTCTCATATGCAATGAGTTCAGAATACCGAAGATGAATCCATTCCGTCACGTAGTGGCCGAAGTCCCATTCAGACGGCCTACGGTTGATCAGGTCCGGTCTCGTGTCGCGACCATCTGCCACAGAGAAGGGCTGAAACTGTCTAGGGAGGCTATGGACGCACTGATCGAGGGAAGTAACAAGGACATAAGACAAGTTGTTAACATGCTATCCAGCGCCAAACTAGATCAGGCCGCCATGGATTTCGATCAAACCAAATCTATGTCGAAGCAATGGGAGAAGCATGTCGTTTTAAAACCCTGGGATATCTGCCACAAGTTACTAGGGAGTGGTATGTTTGCACCTTCAAGCAAATCTACCCTCAACGACAAAATAGAACTCTACTTCAACGACCATGAGTTTAGCTACTTGATGATTCAGGAAAACTATCTGAGAACGAGGCCTCTAATGCCCCCAAACCAAAACTTGTCGCCGAGGGAACAGCGATTGAAAACTCTGGAACTAGCGGACAAGGCGGCTGAAAGTATCAGTGATGGCGACCTTGTTGATCGAATGATCCACGGCTCTCAGCAACAGTGGAGCTTGATGCCTGTACATGCAGTATTTAGTTCAGTTCGGCCTGCCAGCTTTATGTCAGGCGCCGTAACCGGAGAAATGCCGTTCACAACCTGGCTTGGGAACAATAGCAAGCATGGCAAACTCAGCCGTTTTGTGAAGGAAATTCAGTCCCACATGCGCCTTCGGACTTCAGGAGACAGGCATGAGATTCGGCAACAATACCTGCCCACGCTCTGGACCCAGCTTATCAAACGGCTAGAGATAGAGGGCAAAGATTCGGTTGACGACGTTATCGATTTGATGGACAGCTATTTCCTAACACGAGACGATTTTGATGCTATTATGGAACTCGGAGTTGGACCTCAACGACAGGAATTGGTAACGTTGGAGACTCAGACAAAGTCAACGTTTACTAGGCTGTAAGCTATACCACGTCTCTTACACACTTGAAGTTGTTAAATAACTTGACTTCAATAGATACAATAGCCGCACCCACCCAATGCCTTTCATGAAAGCTAGTAATGTGGTTGCTCCTGCTAAGGCCACCAAGGAGATGCCGGACCTAGAAGAGGCCATCGAAGAAAGCGATAGTGGCGAAGTTCTAGTTGAGACACCAGACGACAACGAAGATGAGGACATGGATATTTCGAAAGATAAATATATCAAGAAACCAAAAGCCAAGAAGGCAGCGGCGAAGAAACCAGCAGGGAAGAAATCTAAGAAAAATGATGGTGCTGCTGACGGTAATGAAGGCGACTCCCAAGATGAAGTCATGCCCAAAAAGCCCCGAGCCAGCAAGCCCAAGGCCACTGGTGCTAAAACAAAGGCGAAAAAGTAGAAAAGAGGCTGTTATTTTCGCATCACTTCTGCGGCCGTGATGAGCCTGGTGGACTAGTAACTTCTTATACAGCCCGCGATAATACCTCTTTAGGAATGGAAGTGCCATTCCCAAATTCTTTACCGCTATATAGCACAGCGATGTACCTGTGTTTGTTCTCTATGACATGAATTGCGAATTAATGTGCATCAACCGTTGATATTGTTGTTTTTTGTTGTATGCTTTCGTACTCGAACTTGATTCATGGAGGGTAGTTCCACTGGATCGCCTGAGAAAGTGCCTTTCAACTGTTGCCCTTTATTCTACAGTTCGCCTCCATTTCTAGCGGGCCAACCAACCCCTTTGTTATCTACTCTCAAGAATATCGTTTGATCCTTCAGCTCACATATTGCTTTCAATTACAGCTCACTACCATATTGCCTTCGTCCAAAGCTCACGTCCACTTCGCCTTCAACCAGAGCTCACTTCCATGTGGATATCGCCTTCACCTACAGTTAACGTCCACATCGCCTTTGGCCACCGTTCGCATTCATATTGCCTTCACCCAAAGAGCAGTGATCATGGCGTTAATAACTCGGAGAAAACCAAGCGACTGTATGTATAGAGAATATATTGGCTCTGAAGGTTCTACCCCACGTGGGCTCGGGTTTATCGTACCAGAAGAAGAAACACTACTGGAGGGTGGCTCACGACTCGAAACACCCCCTTCTAGACAGTATGATAGCCCGCAAGTTGAGTCCGCCAGTCAGGAACAAAACTCGCCAGAATCGGGACCGCAGCAAACTCTGACAAAGACAATGCTGGATACATACGCACTCATGCGAGGACGCCTGGGACGAGGAGAACGGGGACCGCTTTATCAAGAAGGGTTTACCTACAGAACGTGGGAACCAAGGCCAGAAGACGATGACCCAAAACTTAGCCCGACAATCCCTTGGGAAACTTAGTAAGGAAGCCTATGAGATACAAACACCGATTATGTATTAACACCAACCAGTGACCATGAAGACAAGGAGAGTAAGAGACTACAGGAAGCACCAACTCCAGATCTCGACTGTGTCAGAGAACCAAGGGAAAGAACCTTCTCTGAGAGACTGGGACAAATCGGGTATGTGAAGATCAACGGTCAGGTCACCGACCCGGATAGTAAGACAGACGTCTTAAATGCCCTCAACGGAATCCGCGGCTACCCACCTCGAGTCCCGGGCTTTCACGACCCTCTCCTGTCTCAAGTCATGAACGACACGGAACTGGGTGAATACTACACTCAGTTCCTTCGCGATGTTGATAACGAAGAGGATCCTGAACGGGACAACGAAGGGAACCCTTTGGATAATCGCATCAGCCCAGTCACGTTTATGAAATGGGCATCTGGTGTACAGAAGAAAGTCAGGGTCAACACGGCCGAAATCGAGGGGGAGGTTGTAGAACGGGCTAGACAAGAAGAGCTTAAGGGGGAGAAGCCGCCAGGAAACCATCGACCGTTGGTATGGTCTGCCCTGAAACCGCAATTCGATCAAGAATTAGGTGGTGCGATTTCCCCGGCATATTCAGTCGACGAGTATCCTAGCCCACTGATGTCACCACGAGGTAAGCTGGCAGATTTGTGTATACCCGTGCCGCTCGGAAGTGTCAGGAGAAGCTGTGCACAGCTGTGTGTTTACAGCAACTATGATAAATCCAAGGCGCCGTCACCAAGGGCTGCCATCAATAAGCTAGTCACTCAGAATTGGAACTAAAGTGATAAAGTCTATTGGTTTAAGTTGCTGGCGTCGACCCTGAGCTGTAGACTGTCCTTCTATAGACTTTGGGCGGCACGAAAATTTGGAAAAAGAATACAGCTGACATCAATGCAGGAGTTAACTTGACCAACGTACCCGGCATGTTCTATCATATGCTGCCGGAGTTCAATGTGGTGCTTGCTCGTGCAGCATTTCATGATGGCGGGATTGATTTATCTACAAAGGCATCGTCAGAAACTGAAATTACCACAGATGTGAGTGAGTACCATGAATACTAACATCAACTTAACTAATTCAGGCCAGTGGCAACTAGCAGACGCTCTTGGAGACGGTAACAGGGAGCTTGGAATGCATAGAATCGATGTCATCCAGGTGGAATTCCAGAACCTTATGGCAGAACGTGACGTCGAAGTCGGGAAGGCAACCGAAAAGATGTTGCAATTGAACTCAGCAAGGGATACAATCACTCGGTTAGGGGAGATGATTTGCGCTCGACGCTATGAGATGACCATTCTGAAACGTCGTGCTCGAGCAGACCAGTTACTCGGCGAGTGGAGAGAACACCTCCGCCAACAGACAGCGAGAGCTGTGAATATGGCCAAATCATGGGGGGATGAGCTCGACGAACTGCGTGATGTCAATGTTAAACTCGTTGGCGAACTACAAGACCTCGATCAGAATTCGGAGAACGATGAAAGATCGGCTGTGGTCTGAATTTTTGGTCTTTGTTCTGGCTGAGATTCTGGACGAGAGCAGGTATACCAAGGGGCCATATTTGGATATGAAATACCGACTAGCCCTTGTGGGACGTCGTTGGGATTTGGTATCAGCAGAGGCTATTCGTTTTTGGGCAAAAAAGGAAGTTTGTCACGAAAGCTACCATTGGGCGCTAGTACCGTCTAGTATTTTATGCTTCTATTATGATGGGGCGGTTTCCGCAAAACTTGTCATACCCCTTTAGGTTCGTTCATTGTACAATAATAAAACATGCCGTCCCACCAAATTGATCCGAGTCCAACGCACTCCTTGGATGCCGCTAAGAGGGGAGGGATATATATACATTCATAAGAAAACGCCATCCATCATTCCAAGCCTGATATATAATAAAAGTACACTCCAGATGGCGTTAAAGAGTTTGTTGGGTTCCTGGGCTCAGGTGTTTCTCACGACTCCGACTTGTGCGGCACGCATGGTGCGGCCGTTCAACTTCCATCCCTTACGCTGAGTCAACACCACGGTGTTGTCCTCCTTTCCAGCCATTGGTGTCATGAACATGGCCTCCATGAAGTTGGGGTCAAACTTCTCCTCCACTGCCGGGTTGATGCGCTCAAGTCCGTGCTTAAGAAGTGTCTGCATCATAATACCCTCAGTCATCTTCAGACCATCGTAGAGGCTGATTAGATCGTTCACGTGCTCGTTCTTTTCGATCGGAGATAGCTTCTCTTCTGGAACCATCGCCAGAGCTCTGTCCAGGTTGTCGACACTCTCGACTAAATCCTTGGCGAACTTTTGGATGGCGAAATCCTTTGTGGACTGGATCTCTCGCTTTGTGCGCTCTTGGAGGTTGCGGTAATCGGCGACAGATCTCAGGTATTTATCCTACAGAAAAATGGTTAGCAAATTGACAAGGTAAAGAAAACGCGAAGGCGAATAGCTTGTAGCGACATACCTTGAGCTCTACGATCTCCTTGTTTTTGGCCTCAAGATCTTTTGCGGCGGCATCCTCAGGTGCTGCAGCGCCCTCTTCAGCTGCCTTACTGGCCTCTCCGTTGGTTGCGTAGCATCTCGCGGATAGTGCTAACCGTGGGCTTTGCGCAACATATTGCGAAGACCTAATTAAGGATCCTGCAAGGAACGGCTTCGGTGCCGTCCGCACTGCTGTCGACCTGACTTGTTTGAGGAGAATTCGTTGAATCATGGTTGTTTTTGGTTATGTTGCAATGATGAAGGTGCTCTCTGGAATTTATTCGCGGCCATGATGGATGGACATGGACAGAAACTAATTAGCGGTCTTGGCGTGGAATGGCATAGCAGGGGGGTTATGTAAACCGAGGAAGTGCCGAGTCCCGCGAGTTTGTTGGCGTAACGTAAGTCATGGTGTAACCGGGACCATGGTAAAATAAAAACCTTAATAACTCTTTCAATAGTGCTTATAAAGATTAACCCTCTTATATTAATGATCTTCATATAGCTATCTAATATATATAAAAACGCTAGTAGCACTAGTTTTTATTTAGAAGAGATATTAAGGTTTAAACTTTTGCTAACGTGGTTGTACACCGAGTCGTGAATGTCACCGAGTCGTGAAACTTTTTTATACCCACCACTGTAAGGTATAATTAAACAACCACAACATGTATTAAAACTAAAACTATTCAGAATCTGATGAGCTAAGTACTTCTATGACCTCCTGACAAGTTCGTGCATTATGGCCAGCCCCCCCGCAAGTGCCACAATGTCGTACACCTGGTTGCCCCTCATTCCTACCAACCCCTCCAGAGCGCTTCTCGCGATTTATTTGCTCCGTAACTGCCCTTTGGGACAAATCATCATGTGCATCCCCTACAGAAAGTGCACACCCTTGACGGACACGAGACTTTTTAGCCCTCCGGCGTTTGCTAAGAGCTTCGTTTGCTGCTCGAAGGGTGCGGACTTCAGCTGACAATAAAGTCATTTCATGTGCCAAAATCTCTGTCCCTTTAGCTAATGCAGTAACAGTAGCAAAAATGGGGGTTGGCGAGCTTCCTTGGTGCCGTGCAATGCGATTTTTAACTAGAGTAGTCTGTGAGAGAGCATCTATTGGGTTGCGAGGCGTTTGAGAAACCCAAGGATCAGCGTCTATAGAGGGGGGTCCTGTAGGTGTAGGAGTCCGCAACTTGACGTCTAGCTTTGAAATGATTACTTGCGGATCAAAGGGCACTAAACCAGCTCCGCGAAATCCAGCTTTGGCGTTTTGAGTTGTTATTGACTGGTTATAAGCTGCGTGGAAAGCTATAAAAAACTCAACCTTTGTAATATGGTTTATATGAGCCTTAATAAAGGTCTCAATTTGACGCCCATACATGTGTTTAAGAACACTAAAGCACCCAACATCAAGTGGCTGAGTTAGGTGAGACGAGTGAGGAGGTAGACAGAGAGTTATGATGTTGTTTGCTTTGCAATATTCCTGAAACGCAGCTGATTCGTGACTTTCATGCCCGTCTAAAACCAACATCCGATATGGTCCTTTTGCACAACTGCAAGTATGTTTATCGAAATGATGAAGCCATTCTAGACCTGTCTCGTTGTTGGTCCATCCATTGCTTGTTGGTTTAATTACCCAATTGTGAGGAAGGCCGCCTTCAGTATACCAACTTGAAAGGTGACATTTCCCTTGAACTACTAAAAACGGAGGGATACTCCCGCCTTCAGCATTCACACAAACAATTGCTGTAGCCCATTCCCGATTGCCAGGCTGAACTGCCTTGCCTCTTCCACGTCGATCGGTGCGCGTAACAACTAAAGCTGAGCTAATAACGCCCATCATGAAGCCCGTCTCGTCAAAGTTGTAGAAATCGCAGTCTTGGATGCCGTACTTTGCTCTCATGTTCTGCACAAGTTGAAACCACGCTCCAATAAGCTCAGGATCTTCGCACAAGGCTCTTTGAAAGTCATAAATGCGATTAAAATGCGTCTTTAACTCGGGGCGGCGTTGTATAAATCGATATGCCCACCGCGTCCCAACGTGCTTTCCCCCACGCGATTCAAGGATATAATTTGCCATATCCTCCACACTAGCAGGCCGAGGTGCAAATCCTCTTGCATCCATATCCAATATATTTCGAATAATCACTTCCTCTTCTAGCTCAGTCAATTTATGACTATTGGCTTTGGTTTCGCGTCGAGAAGGTCGGCCGGCCATTCTATCAGTAAGCGTAGAATAAGGCACTTTATATAGTATTGATGCAGACCTGCGATTAAGCGATTTACATGTTTGAAGAGCCTCAATAGCTAGAATGATTCGCGCTTCTTGGGTTTGGATTTCCATTGGTAGTTGTGGAGGAAACGCGTGTTGAAGTTCGTAGGTAGCTAAGTAGGGAAAAGTTCACGACTCAGTCACATTCACGACTCGGTGTACAACCACGTTATACAAAATATTTATAACGTGGTTTATCAGTACGTCGGACATATGAGTACCTCGGACACTTTTCCCGAATTTCCTACCCTCTAACTTCACAACGCATTTTTTCCACCTTTTATTATGTCAGTGATTACCCAAGAAGCAAAAATCATTCTAGCTATCGAGGCTATCCGAACATCAAAAAATCTAAGTCGTCGGAAGGCTGCTAAGCTCTATGAAGTACCTCATTCTACACTCTGCGACAGAATGAACTGTAAGGACACAGGGCACCCAGCTCACAGTAATAGCATATGAGAGTGCGAGTCGGAGGCTAAACGGATGCTATCCTATAGGTCTACTACGAAGGATACAAAAAAGATGAAGGGGGAACCCCGTTGAGTCTGTTTCCTTAACTCCCGAAACGGGCCCGACTCGGTTATCCCAACCCTAGCCCTGAACCTTCCACCGCAACAGGTCTACATCGGCCCTGAACCCTATACACTTACCATCCCCCACTATAGTGTAACTCGCTATATGCTCCTCTACTGGTTCGAAACCCCACCGAGTCGGATTCCATGCTTGTAGTGACCGTAACAGTTCTGAGACAGGTTCTTCGAGTATCTAGGTACAGAGGCATCCTTACACTACCCCCCGTCATAAGAGAGTGCTTTGTCCGCAAAGCACGCTGCCCGCCTATGGTCCGGAACCCATCCGGGTAGCGTCAGTGACTTGGGCGTTCTTTGTCGTAGGGTTTGCGCGCGTGGCCGCATTAGTGACAACCGCATTGGTCTGATGTGCCGGGAGATGGAAAAAAATAATCCTGGAGCAGTACTACCGTATCAGCTCCGTCTGGTATGCGACTACTTTTTGTTTTCTTTGTTCAATCTCTAGCTTAGTGGTGATGGTCCGAATGAGCACCGGGAGGTATCCGCTACAGGTACGCGTCGAAAGTTCCCCATCGCGCAAGGAGGGTAGCTGCGCTAACCCGATTCGGGTGTCATTGTTGTAAGCCAAATCTGAGTTCAGAGCTTCGCCCACTTTCTCGTTTTTTATTGCTTCACAACAACAACGCCCACAAACCGACCTCCGAGACCAGTAAATGGCCACTCCCCGTCCGTTTCTTGATCGTCTACTAACTGATTGTATAGGATATCCACAATCTGAACGAACGAGTAGGTGATGGGAGCGCGTTGGCGCGCTGGTGATAACTTGGGCTTGGCTAACGGAATCGCAGATTCCATTCAAATCCAAAGAATCGAAGATGCCGGTTCCGACCCCCTCCGGGGCCCTTACGGTTGCCTTCCGTGTGCTCTGTTTGCGCTGCCTTCGGGCCAAAGCCCGTGGGATCCAGTCCCACGACTGCGTCTGGTCCTCGACCAGTTCGAAGTGTGGGTACTGCACCGCGCAGCACTCGCCTTGCGTCCCGGTAGGTTTTCTTCTGGGGTTCGGTGTTTGGTTTGGTTGGCTGTTGCTGACTTTGGTGGAAGCTGCCCTGGTTCCTCGGGGAAGAGTTTGCGGCCCTCCTGGCCGCCGAAGAGGCCACCCCGCTCATCCCCGCCGAAGTCGTCGCCGCCGCCACCGAGGCCAATCGGGTGGCCCTCCTGGCCGCCCAGAGCGTGCCAAAGTTCCGCTCCGAGGCGGAGCGTGACCTCTACGAGGAGGCACGCGCCACTCGGGCTGCCCTCGAGTTGGGGCTGGCCGTGAGTATCCCCCCTTCCCCTTGTGACTCGGTATGGTTTTGATGCTGACTCTGGGCAGCAAATTCAGTCGTCGCTGCGCCGTCTTCGGACGGAACAGGAGAGCGTTCCTGCTCTCTTGGGGGAGTTGGTGGCTGCTGTGGGCAAACTGCCCACCGCTGCCGCTCCTGTGGTCGCTCCGACTTGGAGTGATGGAAGGAGGGAGGAGGAGGATGGGGAAGTTGGGGCGGCCTACGGGGCCTAGGTGGGGGAAGACCTTGTGTCGGAGGGGACTCGGGCCTGGCCCTTCGCGTGGGGTCACTTCGACCCTTCGTCTCTCATGGTGGTAGCCGCTTGTTGCGACGCCGGTGAGACGTTTGGGAAGGGTGGCTCCCGCAAGGGTTATGGTGGTGAGTGCGCCCTGGCTCGGAGGGTATATTTAGTTTAGAGTCGCAGACAGCAATGACTCTGTTTCTTCCGCTTTGTCTTTCCATGATCGTAGTTTTGTTTCTTTCCCGTCTCCCCTGCCGTAACACCTCCTAGTAGTTCGTGAGGTGGACCTGGTAAGTCTGGGTATTCCGTATGAAACTCTCTGAGTTTCTGGGGAGAGTTCATGAAGTTTGACGCTGGGTACCACTCCGGGTCCAGATCGTATCCGACCCAACTAACCCGGTATTGTAGTTGCTTCCGGTGGACCCTTACGGCGAGGATCTTTTCCACTTCCCATTCCTCTACGCCGTCTATCACTTCGCTGCTAGGCTCAGGCGGATCCTGACCAGGTAGGGGATTGTTCGGATCCTTCATAAGTACGTCTGGTGAGAACACATTGTGTATTTGAGAACCGCTAGGTAGTTCCAATCGAAATGCGTGCCCAATCCGTTCCACCACCGTATATGGTCCGACCCATTGTTGGCCCAGCTTGCGGCTAGGACGAGAGTTTTTCAAATTTTTGGTCGATAGGTACACTCTATCTCCTACATCCCAGTCGATGGCCCTTTGGCGTCGATTCGCGTGCTTAGACATTTCCTCTTGTGCCTTTGCCATGTTTTCCTTTGCGTGGACCCATGCGGTATGCATTCGGTCTGCCACCGCCTTGGCTTCCTCTCGGTTTAGGGTCTCCCGGGGGTTGGTGCTTTTCAGAGT